ACGTATGTTTCTGGAGATGATAGCCTCATATCGACGATGTCGTACAGGGATGCCACCTCAACCTAGGCAGAAAGGCAAAACATATCTGTCTCTGATACCATGTTATTGACTATACAAGTCCCGACATTTAACGATGCATGAATATTGAATCGCTTGTTTGTATCATTTGACTGTGTTAGAAGCACATTCTACTGCTTCTCCTTTAGATGACTACAATGCCCAGGCTCTGTGTCTTAGATGGATGCGAGACGCCGCGTTCCGATGGCCTGGAGCGCTGCTCATAGTTTAGTCACTTCTTTGACTTACTCGAATATTTATCATCTTTGAATGACAAAGATGTTGAAGATCATTTCCTCATTTGTTCAGTAAAATTCACACCTTCAACAATTCGCAATGAATATGCCGCCTTACCTCTGTTAGGTCTTCATCATGCAATATGTGGGCCACGCGGTTGATGTTGTTGAAAATATTCACTTCATTGTCGTGAATCATTCCTTGAAAGATGTTTCTGATGACACACATCATTGCTGCATACTTTCTGTCTCCTTCGCTGAAAACAAATTAAATGGTCTGCAATATTTGAGAGGAGAATACACACTGAGCCATATGTTTGGGGTAAAAGCTGAGACCAAATAATTAAATACTTTTCTAGTTTAATGGTGGAACAAATATAAGCTTTACCCACTCCCCCTTAAACCAAGTGGTCGTTTTCCAAGTCGATCAACTCGCTGGTGTTTACGTCCATTTGTCTGCATAATGATGAGTTACTTGTGTGAATAGCAGAGGGTGCTCGTGATGTTTAGAGCTCTTCACGTCCATCTTGTGTCATCGCTGATTTTCACTGATCCATTCGTATTTTACATTTTACACCCAATGGAATCTGTCTCGGCAGTAATCCATCTTTACGAGACTGAAGGTCTCCTTAATGTGTGTGTGTGTGTGTGTGTGTGTGTGTGTGTGTGTGTGTGTGTGTGTGTGTGTGTGTGTGTGTGTATGTGCGTGCGTGCGTGCGTGCGTGCGTGCGTGTGTGTGTGTGTGTGTGTGACCGCTATGAGTGGTTACTCCAAGTGCGAACAAGGCAATTGTGAATACATAGCTAAAACCCTTTCAATGACTAAGGCTATTTACATGACGACTAGATTCTTTCACGAGGAAAAATAAATATGTATACATAATACGTTATTAATTTGTAAGAATGGATATATTTCAACATATTAGAATTCTCAAGTATTGGTTCAAGATTCTTAAAATGCCTATTGATAGATTACCTAGAAAATGTTACAATATGATGTTATTGTATGAAAAACATGGAAGCCGCAATTGGGTATATGATGTAAAGTCGTTATTAAATGATTGCGGCTATGGGTATGTTTGGCGTAATCAATGTGTACCAAACAATCCCGATTCATTTTTAGTATTTTTACGCCAGAGACTTAAGGATATATACTTACAAAAATGGGCATCGCATGTTTTAAGTGCAGAAAAATGCAATTACTACAAGCTTTTCAAGACAACAATTTCCCCAGAATACTATTTGTTTGACATCAACTTTAAAAGGTTTAGAATAAGTTTAGCACAATTTAGATGCAGCTCTCATAGACTTAGGATCGAAGTAGGCAGGCATAGAAACATAGACAGAGAATTGAGAATATGTGAGCAATGTGATTTAAATGTGATTGAAGATGAGTTTCATTTTCTGTTAGTTTGTCCAAAATACGACCACCTTTGAAGAAAATATATTGATCTGCCTGGTTATGTACATCCCACTATACAAAGATTTACAACGATCATGTCAACAACTGATAAAGATAGTCTAAAAAATCTATCAATGTTCATTTATCATGCTATGTTAATTAGAATATGACCTGTTAAACGGATCTGTAACCACTCCCGAAAACAGAATTGTACTATGGGCCTGAGGCCTTTCAGTATGGAATAAAACTTGTCCTATCCTATCCTACGTTACAATAACAGCAGTCAGTATTGGCAGTAAACGTGAGATTCGTGCTGAATTGAAATTTATGTACCCGAACACAACAGTCACAAGCTTTTCGGTACTTCCCTCTTGTGCAGAGTCAACCACGTCCACCAGATCTGGCAATGATGTCAGAGAGGGGCTTTCACTCTTGGACACACATACCACATGTATGTCTTCAGCTTGTTCCTGTTCCTGTGTAAGATACAATCATTAAAAAACACGCCCCATAAAGTTGTGGGAAATTGTAATAATTCTGTCCATTGGCTTGTCTATTTGGGATTCACATGGATTATTTACTCCTGCAAAGGTATATAGCTGCAGTGTATTTGTACTTGGAATACCTGGGAATGTAGCATAAATCTTACGTACGACACGTGTGGTGACACGATAGATTAGATATACAAAAACTACGAGAATCGTAACACTTAATTCACTCATGTGTGACATTACATGTATGATGAAAGACATACATTGTTCATATGTAAATGTAACACTTTACCCGAACGTTCACTGCAATGTTCAGCATGTTTGTTGTTTCAGTTAGATTTCTTTCCCCAGTGTAAGTGAGACATAGAGAGCCGCATTCCAGACACTGGTTGGTTGACGAAGGGCACATGCGTTCTATGTCCTATGTGAAACAGTATGCATAAAAATCACACATAATTGTTACATATAACTCACACACGTCACACGAGACAGTGTATTCATGGAAATTATGTGCAGTTAATCTTCAATAATAAGATAAACGAATGTAAATGCTTCCATTTTCTAACATCTTAAAGGAGGAGGTATAAAGAGGGCCCTTTTTGGCCCAATCAAAAGGTCAACATTTTGCAATATCGGTATGGAAATGATGATGACTGTTCAACAAATACACTTTTCTTTGTAACTTTTTCTTTTGCTACCCCCTAAATTATGCAAATCCGGTCGGCAAAACTGAGCCCTTATCCTAATTCGTCCTGTTTATTTTGTTTTACATTCGGGCAGATAACTCGGCGGTCAGGCTCTAAATGTCACACAAACACCAAACGTGTGACGAAGCGAATTCATGTTTATCTCGCAAATGAATGAATATCATAATGTTTTATCTTTACATCGCGTCGTCCACCATAGCTCAGTTGGTTGTGAATTTTAATCCTAATTTATTTTTCATGATATGTATAGTCTCTATCTCCAATTGTGTTCTTTTCCCCCAAAAATGATAATCGCCATCATTAATCTGATACATTTAAAAACATCATGGACTGTTACAAGCGACGTTAAATACAGTACAACATCATTCACTGATATGTATGGTGATCTGACAGTTTTACCTTGGTAGCTCCTGGAAAGAGAACAGCGACACTGCAATTACTGTCCTTGATCATGCTCCAGAATCCTTCTGTGTTCCTACTGGAAGGTGTCTCACTCACCACGTAGCCATACTGCGCCATGTGGGACTATTTGTAGGGAAATAGTAAAATATACACATACAATGTATCATTGAAGTCACCCTGATAGCATTTTTCAGCCGGGAAAATGAATCATGATACATGATACATAAATTCGTATGGTGTATGCATTTTATCCACAGGTGTCGGGATATAAAGGAACATTTTACAAAGGATTTTCAAAGGTTTTAACCCAAATTACATTGATAACAAAACATGCCATCTAAACCATTACTCACTTGCAAAATAAAAGCCAGATGGTCCAACTCTCCGCTGATCATCAATCTTCCCGGTAACTCAGCTGCAATGAAACATTTATTGTTACTGTACATGTATGCTTAACACGATATTTCTGTAATTTCTATCATGTGATGCAAGCATTTGTATTAACAAACTTACCTGCTCGTACAAGTGTACATACCATTTGGATCTTGTCTGTCTCTCTTTGCCTTCATTATCTGCATTAAGTAAAGTAACGATTTAGATATTCAGAATGATTATTTCCCTATATTGTTAAGCTATATGTTCATTTTGCTTCCGTTTACGGTACATGCAGTGTGTAAAAACAGACCTTTCCTCACCCCGTAGTACAATACTAGCTTTTGATTGGTCAAGGAGCGGGCAATTATTTTCAAAGTTACCTGCTGACAAATACAATCGGAACATATCTTAGGGTAAAATGAAGTAAATCCGTTCGTTTCCGTCGTCTACCGAGATCGGTTTGCAACTTATAGCATTTCACACCACGTATATACATGTCGGCATTGTTATATGACAATGTATTTAATTGTTTAACAGTGATTGCAGCTGTGTTGCATTGTTTTGTTAGGATTGCATGTGTTTGGACAGTGATCAGTCGTCAGGAAATGACTACATTTAGATGCTAGTGTGGTCTGTAAATTTCCGGTATACCGCGGACTCTGATAGTATGTTATGGAAACTTCTTTAATGTTCTAGTGCCGATGTACTGGTGAGGGCACTGTGTGGAACTTTCAAATGGCTTTGTAGGTTGTATATTAGGGGACAATAGCGTGTTTACGTCAATCTCACGCATTTCATAGCTTCGGAACCAGCTTTCATGTGAGGATCGCTCATCATCCCCTTATTCCCTGCCTACCCCATCTCGGAAGCTTGACCACTGTCGCTGCTGGATGAATATATATAATTATCACTGATTTTTGCTATCACCACTGTATATTTTGTATTTCATCCCGACCACTGTCATCATATTATGTATTACCATTGAATATTGTACTACCACCCTTTTGGGTACCGCCATTGTAATTGCTGTACAGCAAATTACTGAAAGTATATTGATTTGCAAACCTAGTTAATTTTCTAAGACATTTGTGGATTGTATACCACTTGTTGGTTATTTCTTGGTCTCATACTAAGTTCTTTTTCGTACAGATTTCTTGGTTAACACATTGTTTCAATTTGGGAATCGACACGTAACAGCATGTAGTTGCAGTTAGTTATGTTGCATCTTACATGTAGATATTAAACACTGAATAATAAAAGACAACCAACAATACATTTGTTAAACAGCGATGTCTGTCTACTTGACAAATACAATTTTCACATTTCTGTCACTATAAGAGGATGTACTGATTCTGTAATAGCCCACATGTGTAACTACAAAAATTGTACAAACGTAAATTATTTAAATATAAGAAAATAACCAATATCTGTCAATATGAGGTGAAATGTACAGCTAAATGTCAATTTCAATTACCCGCAGCAGCTCTACAATCGAACAGGTACCAAGATTAAATGTTTTGGCTGCCTGTCGTCTTTCTAGAAATTGTTGGCATTGCAGACTTTGATCTCCCATAGCAACTGCCTCCACGAGAGAAGAATAAACACATTCATACTGCTTCTGAAAAATAAATATTTAAGTAAATCCTTTGTTACGAAGACTTTGTAACGTGTATGACTGCTTTAAGATTTCCAGGTTAGAGTAGGTTCCCAGCATTATGCTTGTTGTTCGAAGTACCTACATGACATGGTTCGGTTGATTTTGTACCATTGTAACTAGACGGCGTGTGACATTGCTCATTATATCAATCGTTGGTTTATCCCACCCAGACACGATAATATAGAAACCCAAGTTATATCGCGGGAATATTCATGAATGTTGAGGAAATTAATAAACAAACAAACAAACAAACAAATTGTAACAATTTATGAACATATTTACCTTTGTTTGTATCATTCCTTTCCTTTGATGTCTCAGTTTACACACAAAGTCAAAGATGTCCACTTCATCGTCAGTCTGAATTTTGTCCAGATGATAGTCCAGGGTAATGTACGTTCCACTTCGGCCAATACCAGCACTAGGGCCAAATGTGTTATATGAGTAGGTCTTGCAATTGTGTGTCATAGATTTATGGTAATATGTACATGTACACGACGTCATAATGAGGTATTTCATGTCATGAAATCTGTGGAATAATAGAAAAGTATGATCCCCGTTCTGATACAGTTAAAATCCATTTGTCAGTTACTGTGAGGATACAGTTAAAATCCATTTGTCAGTTTCTGTGAGGTCTTCACTGACACCTTCGAAATGTCACTAAAAGACAAGGTATGCTTATTTTGTTAGCCGTCAACAGTTACATCCAAGGGCCATAATCGACCGCATTCTTTATTTGTTAGCAATGCCTGACTATTGGTAATCCTAATACAATTTACCTCTCAAACACTGTGAGACAAGAACTAAGGGCCTGAATTCTCATAGTCAGATTGAACAGAACATGGGACATTTCACATTTCACATTTCACACGCATCGATCGTTTCATCAAAGAAACGAATGTATTATTACACTGTGTGTTTGTCGTCCGTACGTTGCAATTAACATTAAGAAAGAATTCATTTGTAAACCCGACACAAAGTTTTACACCCTATTAACAGAACAATTGTATACCTGCAGTGCACAAGAAGAGGTCCATCTTGACAAGTGGGGGCCTTCCGTACATGCCAAATAAATTCCAACAATGACGTTACATCCGGAACTGAGTGATCGGGCCATGCCACGAAATGAAACTGGGTGATGATCCGACTTTCTTCTGTCTGTTTGAACAAACAAGATAAGATAAATACGCAGACAAAACTAAAAATGCATGCGAACAAGTGACACAGTGGTTACGTTACCGGGACTTTCTGTGCAGATTTGCATCCTTAGCCCTGCAACGATTCGCTGGGTCCGGATCCCGTATGCCCTGATAATGAACCTTGGAATGTCAGCAACATATCCGTGCCAGTTGGTTTCAGGCAGGTGTTAACTGTCTACGACCTGCACCGTGATTGTGTTCCTCCAGCATAAGTCGATATTATTTAAACCAACACACCAGCAAAGTCATGCCAATGACCCGGGTTTGATTCCACACGTGGGTACAGTGTGTAAAACCCATTTCTGGTGTCCCCGCCGTGATGTTGCTGGAATACAGTAAAGTACGATTATAACGAACTCAAACGGACTACTAATTTTAGTTCGTTTTAACCGTAGTTCGTTATAAGCATGTATACAGTATAACAACAGCAAATAGTCGGGACCAAAAAAGTAAGTTCGTTATATCCGTCAGTTCGTTATAAGCGTGTTCGTTATAACCGTATTTTACTGTATTGCTAAAAGCGGGTTAAACCATACTCACTTGGTATGGATAGTTAAGTTTATAAGAAGATCTTTGTCAACAAATATCTTCAACATAATTCATTTCTTATTCATAACACTACAGGATTATAAGCCATGTTGAATGTCTATAATTCAAGTTTAGTCATTTACACCTGGAAAATTGTCACGGTACTGCATACCGTAGTTTGTCTTTTCAAACAGCGATGTTTAATCTTATTTGTTGCCGTATGACATATTTTGTAAATATTACATGGCGACATAAACTGCCGGGCAAAGGAAAGTATACACCCATGTTTGATGGTGATTAAAATGAAACAAACAAGAAATATTTATTCGACGTTTATGTATTTGACACGAGTATTATGAGCGATGTTACATGCAGTATATCAATGATTATATCACGCCAGGTGACTTGTGCATGGCGCATAAAGGTACATAGGGCAGACAATTACAGTAATAACAGTAAAGAGCTGTGTGAATTTGTGTATCCTTTGCCCGGCATTTTATAATGGACTATAACTTTCAACCGTACCATCTGCGTCTTTGAGTTATAACGTGATTTTACGCAGTACTTTTGTAAAACATACAGTGTTCTTGTACTAACGTTAACCTTTCTGCTTGAAAAGATCCAAAACATTTATCAAAATAAGATAAATACATAATGTAGATATTTACACAAGATAATGAAAGGTCGCGATATATGAAAATAAAGAAGGGGTGGGTACGGTCAAATGTTGCTAGGCGTATAGGTAGTTTATAATGGATACTTTGAATCGCTTCTTTGACTTGCATTATAAGAAAATAGAACTTTTGCAATGTGTGAACGCATACCTGTCGTTCTTTGACAGAGAATTCCCTGATGATGTAATGAGAACGTGTGTCCCTTCTCGCAAAAGTGATGGTAAGGCCTCCGATGACGAAAGGACGTTTCACGCGCCAATACTGTTCACACTTGTCCTGGAGTAAACAAATATAACTTTAAACAATGTTTATGCTTTGCTGTTTATATTTTCAGTAACACTAGACATTTAGTTGCATATTCACACTAATTATTCTCATAAATAATCTTACAGTCAGGGTATATTTACTTTTTCTGAATCTTCTTTCTAATAGTCTGTGATACGTACAGAATATGCGCTGCATAGGGGTCATAGGGATAAGAGTTAGATCACGTGAGCAGAGCAACAATCTGCAAATGCACAAAGCGGACCACATGATTTACACCTCCACAAATGACATTACATACATAAGGCACAAACGAGTTATTTGCCTGTATGGATGAAATGATCTGATTATTGATAATCAAATATCAATGACCTTGTGGCATCAGTGGCCTTGTAAAGGTAACCAAAGGAAATACAAACTGATGTCTGACCTACACCCTTTGTCACGCGTAACCCAAATCCAACAACTTTTGAGCAAGAGTCATTAGGTGCTCTTCGTTATAAGAGCATGCTTGATTATACCTCAAAGTTGTCAAATAAAGACACCAAAGGCTGGAGCTGCTGAAATACTGTTCAACATTAAGGAAAACTGGCTATTGGAAAGTTGATCCCTCTTGTCATACAGTCTTGGTTTACAATACCTTCCCCTTTTCAACAAGGCGTGTAATCATGACGATCTTGCCACATTTCTTCTCCCAAATCATCCTCCAGAAGTCTTTCATTGTCCTTTCAGTTGGGGCTGTATAAGAAAAAATCAAAAGGTATTTACACCCTGATTCTAAACTGGATATATAGAGGACATTCCATGTGTCAAATTAAAATATCATGTTTCTCTCATCGAGGGAAGGAGAAATCTTCACGAGTGGCTCACCTTTCCCCCGTCACTCGATAAGGGAAAGCTCAGTCTTTCACACTGAAGTAGATCTATATTATTTGAAATTTTACGGCTTAGGTTCTAATTTCTAAACGGACCACTTTAGGGGCGACATCAATTAATAATTATTCTTCAGATGAGGATGTTGTAACATTTATATTAATTGTTAAATATGTTAAATTTCATCTATCAACAATCAACTCCTGAAAAGATTTTACTACCTTGTGCTGCTATGTATGCCATGTCCGTTTTAAATCCCTGTGTGAAGAAATAAGTATTTGTTTGCATTGCAAAGTTTCACAAACATTTCAGACATGCAACGTTTTTTACATATTAATCGTCATCGCCGGAGAATAACCAGTCTCGACTACCCACCGAAACAGATTCCAGTGGGCGTAAAACAGCGGTGATAATGATAAGAATGGATCACTAAACATCAGTGATGATTTGTTTGTTTGTTTGTTGTTTAACGCCGCACTCAGCAATATTCCAGCTATATGACGGCGGTCTGTGATATTCGAGTCTGGACCAGACATTTCAGTGATTGATATGGTTAGCATCCACGCAATTGGGACCGATGACATGCATCAACCAAGTCAGCGGGCCTGACCACCCGATCCCGTTAGTCGCGCCTCTTACGACAAGTTAGTCGCCTTTTATGGCAAGCATGGGTTGCTGAAGACCTATTCTCCACCCGGATCTTCAGGGGTCAAAATAAGCAATGACGCCAGGTATTTTCGTGTGTATACTAATGCCGGTTTTATAGTTCTAGCTCACTACGATACCGTGCTGCAGTTTAATATTGTTACCCCATGGATACCCCGTTAAGACACAGTATAAACTGAAGCCTGCCGGGGATCGAAACACCTACCTTCCGTTATGTAAGATATTTTCTATAAGTCAAAACATGTGATACGACGCCCTGTTTAAGGCAGCTCAAACTGATTTTGTTATAGTAACGGACACTCCAAGAATAGAATGAGGTAAATTTAAAGTTGTTGGCATAGTATCAGCCAAATGGCGTCGAGAGTCAAGATGAACACACATTCCTGATCGTACTTACGTTGATGTAGCTGGCGTTGATGTAGGTGGAGAACGGGTCTCCTGGCAGGATACTGAGAGCCACTCGGTTTTTGTCATCTGATTGGTTGAATAAAGACTCATTAGACTCACGGAAACATGACAGGCTTCGTTCATTATTTTCAAGTGCTCTTTTGTGAGAGAGTGAGTATGGGGAATCGCCCTTTGAACAAAATTTCAGCTTTATCACATCATGTAAGTTTGCGGAAAGCCCGAAGTGGTGTAGGTCTTAGACGTTTACCTATTTACAGAAGAGCACAAATAGAAACATATTCAGGCGGATCTGGGATTCGAATCAACCATCATGCGTTTATGGCATGCCTAAAGGTTGAAATTCAGCGCAGCGAATTGCGGCGGTTTAGGCGACCCTTGACCTCCGATCTTTGGGTGATAAATATCAGGAAACATACATGGGTAGTATGACGTGTATCTGTTTTTCCCTTTGTTCATGAAATGTATTGATTCCTCAAACGTCTCTGTAAATCCGACAGGTAAACGCTGAAAATATAAGTTTATCATCAGTTTTAAGGGTTAGTCAAATTCAATAACATTTATACCCGTAGGTTTGATTTTCTTGAACATTTATTGTGTACATTGTGCAATGAGAGAACATAGTCTTAATCAGATATACTGCCTTTTTTATATAAAGCTGATATGTGTCTGTTGTTCTAATTATGAAACTGAATATATTGGAATATACAACTTTAACGTCATTCGATGAAGTACTTTACCTCAAATTCACTTTTAAATCGTGTCTCTGTCTGTGTTACTTGTGCTACATGTTCCTCTAATGCAGCTATTGCTACTGAGGTACAAATGATGGGTTCAGGCAGGCCGGGCACGTTTCGAGGTTCACCATTTTCTGCATCAACAACTGTATTCCCATTAATAACATATCCGATGACATTTACCCTTGCACTCTCGCCATGAAGTGGCACATCATTTGTAACTGAATCAACTGAAGACAGGACATGTCAGAACAATAAAAAAGTATGGTTTGAAAATAACGAAATGGACCATCATATCGGAAGTAAAATGTGCATAAGCCTTCTTGGGCCACTGAAATCGACTAATTTAGCTTTTGTTTTTGCTACTGAAATCAACGAGAGTGTTGACATTGTATTTCTGCTTTAATATGTGTACATTAAAACTTTCAACAATATCAACTGCAGACATATGTCTGAAATATTTATTACGATTCGTTTTCAAACGAGTAATTATGACCACCCAAGGTCAGTCTCATTTACCAATCAAAGTTTTATTATTATAATTCCAAAATTAACGTAGATTTGGATATAGATATATGGGAAATTGTCTTTAAAGTTGACAATATTGATTAAATATCATCGACTTGAAGTTCAACTGAGTGGTATGTTTCGAATACATGCCGTTTGAAAATTGTATCTCTCTGAGGCAAAAACATACACAAATACAAACAAGTTAATGATTATTGCTTTGGTTAATGATTTGAATGATGTGCCCGAAGACTGCACACATGTGGATGTGCGTTACAAACATTGGAGGTGTTCGGGTGCACTAATAAAACAAGTTCTATAGTGTTGAACGATAAAAGATGGAAAAATGGCGCTACTGACGTTGATTTGAATAATGTGTTACAAGTGTATCCCAGGAATAAATTTGAAAAATTGGTTTATTTGTACGATTTACGTGCAAGAATGTTATTGCAAAGGGAGAATACAATTCGAAGGATGCTGATCAAATGTCAAATAGTTTCCTGGCATTTAGACACTTAGAGTAATACACTTTAGTAAGTTTTTACTTAAATACAGCGTAAATAAAACGACACTACCTGTTCTAATGATGGCATCCTTCAGGGATATGAGCTTCATGCGAACCCAGGCAATGGTGTCTCTAAGTCAAAAGTGTCATACAAATAACTGTTTTTTCATAAACATAGTAATATACAGTTCACAATGTAAAATAATGATTAAAGTCCTATTACTCTAACATACCACTATCTTATTATCAGTTGATGTATTTCCAGAATTCAAGAAAGGTTGTAACATGCGTCTCTAACATCGTAATATGAAGATAGCGGAACGGTAATGGATATCCGTTCTGTATGTATCTTTTATGAGATACAACAATGTTGATAATCTTCAAACGAAGATTGTGACTTTTATGAATATTCAAAGAGCCAAATCTGAGGTGTTCGAAACGGTTCATCTAGCAAGTTTCACCGATACAACGTAGTCTTAAAGAACATATGAAAGTAACTGTTTATATTTTCCCCATACATGTATGTTACGATTTTCTCTTCACTAAACATCCACTTTTATACGATAGCTAAAACATATAAATATTCTTTATAAACAACAATACATGAAGCCACCGAGCAACAGTGATCCAATAATTAATTATTCAAAAGACACATTGCAATTGCTTGCACATGAGAGGAATTGACAGGGAGTATTTGATCCCAATTAAATTTAAGGTTTCCAATTGATCACATGATTGCAAAACAAATGCGTATTTTTGTGTCTTATTATTAACTAATTGTGTATCTCGTCACAACTCCCCCAGCATCAATATTGACCATGACAAAAGATCAGCCCTATATGTGTCTAATACCTGTTCAAATATGAAACAAATGAAGGAGACATCGTTCGGCCTGATGGAACCAGATGTTTCAGAGGACACTATGTTTACTATGTCGACATAACTTCACTTAAACACATACATTCACAGTGATTTTTTTCCTGTTCAGACATAAATCACATGTAGCCAGTTCTGAAGTTCATCTGTTATTTTATCAGTAATAGTTGACGTACCTTGTCACGAAAGTAGCACATACTGCGATGATACCAACACTCAGAACCAGCACCAAGATTCCAATCCCAAACTTCATCCCGGCAGCATTATCACCTGGAAAAAGAGAGACAAAAGCCATTTTCATAATCATAAATACAGAACGTCAACGCCGGTGAACAAACAGTCTCGACTATCTGCCCAAACAGGACCGAAAGGCACACCGCGGTGAAGACGATATAAATGGATCACTGAAAAACAGTTGTGATACCAGGTGCTTGCAAATGGGCAAGCATTTCCTACCCCACCAGAGGCACCAGCCACTCACACAATTTGCATAAAACAATTAAGTGTTAGTTATCGTGCCATATGATGTCAGTCTGTAAACAAACCAGAAATTCAAGTGATGGACAAGAAAATCCATTGACACGATAATGCATTTATTGATATTGTTAATACCAAAGACGACGTTAATTTTGAATTATTTCTGCTGTGTACAACTGCAAACATTCTACTGATATAAGAAAAGAAAAACGTTTCAGAAATTTTGCCTTAAAGCAGAGTCCCTTGCACGATTCCGACTATATTATAAGCATGAATTGTTTTTCAGAGACTGTGTGTTTGAAGGTAAATCCACCGCCAGAGCAGGATTGTCGTAATCTCCACAACATTATACGGTCAATAAAAGCGACAAAACCATTTACACAATCGTCAGAAATCTCCATTAAAAGAAGAGTCAGTTTGAAATCTTAGTAGCGTGAGCATGCTAGATTAGACCTCAAAAGTCGTGAAATGTAGACACACAAAATGAGCAAATGGAACATTGATCGATCTACACATGTACATGGAAAGTTGACTATTGGAATGTTAGAGTCTTGATAAGAGGTTTTTTTTCACTCTGAATCTTTATGGACAGATCTAAATATGAAACAAATGAGGCGCTTTCATCCATCTCTTTTATTTATAGTTGTTTGGATAAATCGGTTGAAGGGTTTGCCTATCAAACCATTATCGAACGATATCAGATCATCAATATACATGAAGCTTAAAAGAGTGTCAAACGACTCTTTCTGAAAAAGTTGTTCAAGGCCTTATTATGTAAGTTGCTGAAACTTACCATTATAAGCATTGGATTCGGCTAGGGACACAAATAGTATGGAGCTTACACCAAACAACCAGTGGGGTATGACGGCCATACTTGTTGTGATCGGGAACAAGGAAGTGACACAATATGTTATCGACTGAAGGATATATTGATTTTATATTGAGTTGCATTGACATGTTAATAAGTTTTGCAGATTTGGACATGTGTGTGAAAAATCTAGTGTCAGGTTCATCATGTCCTTAAAGCAGATACAAATGTAGAATTGCTTTGATATATAACAGGGAAATACTTTTATAAATATGTTTATTCGTTCATAATAGAATTCTAGAAAATGTTTTTAAAATTCAATGGACCTGAAGCCTTATCTATCCTTAACTCTTGAATCTTAGTCTTGTGAACAGTGGTGCTAATTTACACATAATCGTAACATGATTACTTGAAAGCAAGTTATCCGGCACACACTATGCATCAACATTTCAGAGGTGAAAGTGTTCCGTCAGACATTTCCCTATGAGGACGTGATAGTCGCTTGTCGTTAATAACAATACAGTATAATTCAGATTTATTAAAGAGGTAATGAATGAAACTAGGACCTAACATGTTTCAGTAAAAGTTTCCGACTTCTCAAAATTCATGCTTTTCACTATCTCGACAGATCAGTGCATAAAGCAGAGTCGATTGTACGATTCCGACTATATCACGAGTATGTGTTTATGAATCACTATCAAATAGTAATGATACCAGGTGTTCGAGAAAAGGTGAGCGTATCCTGTCCCACAGGTGCACCCGTCATAAACACATGCAAAGGCAAGTCAATTGTTCACCCGAAAATATATGGCAACATATGGTACACGTACAAATAAGGAATTGCATCGGACATAATTTTTGTCACTGATGCGTCAAATATGGAAATGTCTACCATAAAACTTTTTGAAAGCTTTGCTGAGGCTTTGAATGTTGTAACCTTGATCAAACAACTTCTGAGCAAGAGTCGCATGACGCTATTTGAAATCTTGGTAGAAAGAGCATTCTCGATTGTATCTCAAAAATTGCGAAATGTGAACACCAAAGGCTGGAGCTGCTGGAATATTGCGCGACAAGAAGGAAAGTTGACTATAGGAAAGTTGAAGTCAGCCCTCTTGTCATACAGTCCTGTTGAGAGTGTTTTGTCACTCTGAATCTCTATGCATAGATCCAAATATGAAACAGATGAGGCGGTCTCACTGGACTACTTTGTTTCTAGGTTAGGTGGGTAAATCAGTGGAAGGGAACTTGTTATTTGCTTGTTATTGAACGATATCAGATCATCGATATACCTGAAGCTGAAATTAAACTTTTTGGCAAAATTACCTTGTTTCGACTTTGCCAATCCGAACAGAATTTCCGATTCATATGAATAAGATCCGCAAGAAGGGGAGCACAATTGGTGCCCATGGGTTGCCAACTTCTTGCCGAAATGTTTTACCCCAAAATTTTACGTAGATGTTATCAATGAGAAAGTCTAGCATTTCACATATTGTGTTCTCAGTAAACTTCAGATGGCATTTGCTTTCATTTTCCACAAATTGTCCTGAACCTCTGACTATAGATACGTTATTGTATATGTGTACACCACGTTTTGTAACAAAAGCCCCATGGATCAAGGAATTAAGTTTTTCTTTACGTTTGTCATGTGAGGTTGTGGTTATAAAGTTGAAAAATCAAATGTTTTGACAGAATGGAACCTGGTTCTGTTCTGAGATTGCAAAAAGTAAAGCAAATCCTTTGAGATTTTGAGAATCCACATGGTATTAATTCCACTTGTCTCAAATACTTTCTGCGAGTATAAAGAAGTCCTACCTTGATTATAGTCAGGATTATGGTCAGTCTTTGAGACAGGGTTGTGGTTATACCCAGCAATATATCTCTCTTTGTACGGATTTTTATGGTGCTTTGGAATCCAGTACAACAGAGGAATGGACATGTCTTCAGGTTTTAGGGTCAAGTCAAAAGTTGACAGTACTTACTTATGGTTTTGGCAGATTTCTTCCTCAGTTAACACACTGACTTTATATATGTGGCATTATTTGATATATCATTTATACCAACTTCTTTGATCAAACAATAAATGTAGTGATGCTTACATATAATGGTTATGTTATTTGGGGCATTGTCAGTGGGAACAACTACAAACTGTCATGTAGGACCGCCAGACTTTGGATCACGGCTGGTTGGGACAGAATGGGTTTATTCCAATTCCGTTTTCTCTTTTTAAGTTTGTGCATTCTACCAATGACTACATCACGCACTGACTTAACCCCCCTCTGAAAGACATTCAACAGGTTCCTTTTTTCTTTTGGCACATTTTTGGCATATTCTTCGACAGCATCCATAATGATTTTAAAGTTGTGATCCCAATTGGTAGGTGGTTGCTGACGGTATTTTGGTCCATATTTGAATAACTGACGAAGGTTGTTATTGTCAACAATAGAGAAGTCACCTGTGATCATATGACTTGCAGGTTGATAACAGTGTGATGAGTCCACGTTCTGCAACACGTTTCTGTTATTGAACAACCTGGGTGAAATTGTGTTCGTATAGAAAAATGCAGTTGTTGGGGGTTCCTGAAATTTGAAATATTGTGGGACATTCTGGGACGCTGACTCTGTCTGAGAATGTTACTTAAATGTAAGACATCAATTGTGTGCAAATTTCAAATTCAAGAAATTGCGATCTTTGTCTCATTTTGTGGAGTCTGTTTCTGGTTTGGCCAAACGTTTCAGAGCGATATCAAGAACTAGTCAAAACTGTGGGCTCTTACTGTTTGTAGATCCACCCATCAGCAAAAGTTGCTGGAGTCGTTTAATAGTCATGTTTTTAATTTGGGTTTGCACATTATGGGTTTCTGTTCAGACCGACCAATCAATTTACTGAATCCCGAACAAATATTATGATAAGGTTTTTCCCCGCTGAACGTCTCTCAAAGCTGATAAGAAAAAACACGTGTTTTGTACTTTAAATAGCGAGGTCTACTCGATCCCGCGTGCTGTACAGTAGGTCGATTCCCTAACAATATGTTAAACCGGAAATCTGAACGTAAAAGAATTTAGTTTGGAACCAACAAACAACCAGCAAATGGAATACAGTCAACAATGTATTACAAAATTAACTTGGTTGACAAATCCGTACAAAGTACTGCACAGGAATTACAATTGCAGTACACAAGAGAGTGGTAGGACAATAGTCAATGGCAATATATAATATGATGGGAATGGCCAGTATCAAATACAAATGCAGTGGTGATAGCAAAGGTCAGTGCTAATAATATATACACCCAGCGGCGACCGTGCTCATGCTTCCGAGATGACCTAGGCAGGGAATCCGGGGTGATAAGTGATCTCCACACGAAAGTTGGTCTTGGTGCATCTTCCAATGAATTGTGAGAGATGAGACAGGCACGCTCTTGTCCCACTCACATAGTCTTACTCGCTTCTCGAATATTCTACACTCTTTCGGAAGTTTACACATCACACTAACATTTGAATATAATAACATCCTTAAAACTCCCTACAGTAAACAGTACTACATTCCTGACACGAATCTATATCCAAATACAATGCAATGAACTTCTTCCGAATCTCAACAGAAACAATGTCATACAGTTACAATAATTGATTAATAAAGAAATACACTGCCATATAACAATACAAAATTAATTAATTGTTTGTACACATCTAGCCGAAGGAACATTCTCTTTGCTGTGTTTGTTGTTGACTGACTGTCCCAAACAATACCTAAAGCATAGATCAGGTATTATATATGTATGTCTCATTAAATGCTTCCTTGTTGGTTGTTATATATGCGACCCGTTACGATCCGGGTTGGAATAGGTCTTCAGCAACCCATGCTTGCCGTACAAAGCGACTATGCTTGTCGTAAGAGGCGACTAACGGGATCAGGTGGTTAGGCTCGCCGACTTGATTGATGCATGTCATCGTATCCCAATTACGTGGATCGATGCTCATGGTGTCTGTCACTGGATTATTTACAGACCGCCGTCACATAGCTGGAATATTACTGAGTGTGGCGTTAAACAACAAACAAAATGTTAAAGATGTAAAGAAATTGTTAACTATATTCTCCCGTTCTCGAATGAGTGAGTAAGTGAGTATGGTTTTACGCCGCTTTTAGCAATATTCCAGCAATATCACGGCGGGGGACACCAGAAATGGGCTTCACACATTGTACCCATGTCGGGAATCGAACCCGGGTCTTCGGCGTGACGAGCCAACGCTTTAACCACTAGGCTACCCGACCGCCCCGTTCTCGAATGAAGGCGAAAGTGTTCTGTGGTGGAACTTCCTTTGATGAAATATACTTACGAAATGAACTAATCTATCAGTAAAGGCAAGATATTTGATGGAGGATAACTACTTTAATTTATAATGATGCGAAGTAATCAATGCTTTGTTGAAATGTGTGTGTGTGTGTGTGTGTGTGTGTGTGTGTGTGTGTGTGTGTGTGTGTGTGTGTGTGTGTGTGTGTGTGTGTGTGTGTGTGTGTGTGTGTGTGTGTGTGTGTCTGCAAATCAACACTACAGCTTCATGTATATGGACGCCTAACAGTGCCAAACAGCGAATGTCTCCATTGTCACCCATCATATATACATGTACGATGATACCGTTTCACCAGTGTTAAGTACAACACACGATAAACAGATAAGTATTTTTTATTGTAAGCTATGACAAATTGAATGTAGTTTCAGTCTGTTTGTCTAATCACAAAATAATACAAGTAAATGGCATTCAAAAGACTTTATGTCATTTGACAATAAACAGTATTTTAGTGTTGATAACGTTACCTTTCGAAACTTAAATATAAGACATTTTCTTCATACAAGCAAACAAACCTTTTACAGCACATAAGTAGCGGGACAATACATGTACATTATAAAACATGTTCCGGTTATGTAATATCTGGATCAGGGAAACATTCCCCTATTATGGTAATACTGCTGTGTCTGTTAATTATTATAATCACATGAATATACTATGTTTCCTATTACTAACTAGAGATGTATTAGCGTGTACTTGCACAAAAAGGCAGTCTCTTCACTGCTATTTATACATAATGTAGAAGGTACATCAAATCATTTCATGCCATCACAGATTTCCAGAGTGATAGCGAGGGCATGGGTGGCCCAGTCGTCTAAGAAGCTGTGCAGAGTTGCGTCCCTTGGGCACACCAAAAACCTATGATTGTGGGTTCGAATCCCGGTTCGCCCCGATTATGTCTCTAGGTTTGTCAGCACCATACCCATGCTCGTTGGTTTCACCGACGTGGTAGACGTCTGAGACCTGCATCACTTCGGGCTTCCCTCCCACATTAAGCTGACTCGCCGTGAAATAACTGGAATACTGTTAAAAGCGGCGTTAAACCTAACTCATTCACTCCAGAGTGATAGCCAATACCTTCGATTACATGCTGACTATAACCTCAGACCAGATCAAAGTACTTCGCATCATCATGGCGAAATGCCACAGAACTTTGAAGCAGATACTTCTATGCCACCTTGCTACTTTTGTCTTTATGAATAAAGTTGTGTGAACGTCCAGTTGTATGACCTTCAATTGCTAAAGTCATGTCATGTAAATACGGGTGTTTCCAACTGGTTCAGTGCGCAAAGGAATTGCTCTATTTAATTAAAGCGACCATTATTCAATGCCTAATGCTAAAGATGAAAAGTACCAAATTGTATCCTACATTTATCGAGTCATCGTGAACATAATGCGTTTTGTCCTATATTACTTTGAAAATATATGCAAAAAGGAACTACTTTAAAAACAACATCAAGGGCTATGCATTATATGAACAAAATATTACGATCCTTGGTTGTATTCAATGTAACAAAGAAAATATAGCATATGCTTCTAATCGGAGCGATAAGATTGAAGGTAACTATGACCTAACAATGATATCATAAGATTGCCATACACAAGTATGCCACTACAATATAGCCACATACATACAAAACGCAGGAGAAGCTAAACTGGCAAACATAATTTACGAAAGAACTTTACTGTAACCTTGACAGATAGGTAGGCCACAGATAACCTTTCCCAATTACGACCCCACCCCAATATAACGTTTATCAAATTTTCATTTACCCGCAGTATATTTTTAGTTATAGTTTAGGCGACCTCTTCTTCAGACTATGACCATTAGGACGACCCCGAGTATCGACATAACTGATCACGCTGTTAAGGGGATGTAGTTGATGTGACATCCCTGATACATCCAATGTGGATTACAAATGTAAAGTGCGTCGGCGGAGCGGTCAATTTCTGACAAGGCCCTGAAGCATTCCTGTTCACATGGGACTGATTGATTACATTCATCAAATCAGTTAATGCTGCATATGTAAAGGGAATGTAAATGACAGGAAAAATGGGGGTTTCTGAATGGATAATTATGAGATACTGTCTATATTGTCATAGATGCGGTAATGACAGTTTCATAGACATTATAGCTGTGTATATTTGCAAGAACCGTATAAAGGTTTTATATAAAGATAAATCAATATTATGAAATACGAAATCCATTATTGATCATTGAGGATAATTAGATGGATCACACCAAAACAACATATTTCTCCAGTCAACAAGCAATCTTATTGGCTTACTAGTATTACTAGTATTACTAGTATTTTCAAGCAAAATAATACACAAAAACAATCTTAATCAATGAAGATAAGTATAAATGTCCTCAGAGGTTTACATAAACGTCTCCTTCTTCTTTGTTGCTGGCTGTGATGCTGGCTGTGTTGCTGGCTGTGATGCTGGCTGTGTTGCTGGCTGTGATGTTGGCTGTGTTGCTGACGTTCACGTAGGTGTCTGGAGATGCTAGCTTCATATCGACGATGTCGTACAGGGATGCCACGTCAACCTAGGCAGAAAGGCAATATATATATCTGTCTCTGATACCATTTCTTTTAATATACAAGTCCCGATATTTAACAATAAAGGAATATTGAACTGCATGTTTGCATCACTTCTAGTGTTACAAATCGCATTATTTTACTTTCCGTAAAGGCAACAAATTGGTTTCAATGGCAGGGATCTGTGACCCCATGTCCCGATGGCGTGGATCATCGCTCATATTGTAGAAACTGGTTGTTGTGTCTTAAATATTTATTATCATTGAATAACAAAGGCATCACTCACTCACTCGTTCACTCAAATTACAGCTGTAACTATTCATAATGTATATACCATCTTACCTCTGTTAGGTCTTCATCATGCAATATGTGGGCCACACGGTTGATGTTGTTGAAGATATCCACTTCATTGTCGTGAATCATTCCTTGAAAGATGTTCCTGATAACACACAGCATTGCTGCAAACTTCCTGTCCCCTTCACTGAAAAAAAATCGAATGATCTGCAATCCCATAGAGGAGACAACGCAGCAAATAATTTGTTATAGGTTAAATCTGGGGACAAATAATATTTTTCGTTTTATTCTGAAACAAATATATTTGTTCACCCCTCCTTCAAACCAAGTTGTCGTTCCCAAAGGGTCTCCCAAAGTCGATCAGTTCGTATTTGTTTATTTGACATGCCTGCATAATTATGAGTTACATCTGTAAACAAAGGGATGTGCAGAACGTTATGACTGAAATGGCTTGTATATCACGAGACAGACATATTAGATAAGATGTGACCACCATCGAACGTTCAGTGTAAACCAGGCAATTATGACTAATAATATAGGGGTAGATTCTTAAACGATTAAAGTTAAATATTTATACATATTATGATGTTTTTATTTTTTATTATTTTGAAGAAGAGATTACGTTACAATAATAGCTGTCAATATTGGCAGTAGACGTGAGATTCGTGCTGAATTGAAATTTATGTACCCGAACACAACAGTCACAAGCTTTTCGCTATTTCCCTCTTGTGCAGAGTCAACCACCTCCACCAGATCTGGCAATGACGTCAGAGAGGGGCTTTCACTCTTGGACACGCATACCACATGTATGTCTTTAGCTTGAGAGGTCACCTGTTCCTGTGTAAGATACAATAACAAAAAACACGCCCCATAAGGTTGTGGGAAATTGAAAATAATTCTGTCCATTGGCTTTTCTATTTGGGATTCACATGGATTATTAACTCCTGCAAAGGTAGATAGCTGCAGTGTATTTGCACTTGGAATACCTGGGAATGTAGCCTGACCACAAAAAGTCTTATTGGTGATACGGTAGATTAGATATAAAAATAACACGATAATGGTAATACTCAATTCTCTCATGTGACACATTACATGTATGATATACATTGTTCATATGTAAATGTGACACTTTACCCGAACGTTCACTGCAATGTTCAGCATGTTTGTTGCTTCAGTTAGATTTGTTTCCCCAATGTAAGTGAGACATAGAGAGCCGCATTCCAGACACTGGTTGGTTGACGAAGGGCACATGCGTTCTATGTCCTATGTGAAACAGTATGCATAATAATCACAAATAGTTGTTACATATAACTCACACACGTCACAAGAGACAGTGTATTCATGGAAATTATGTGCAGTTAATCTTCAATAATAAGATAAACGAATGTAAATGCTTCCATTTTCTAACATCTTAAAGGAGGAGGTATGATAAGGACCCTTTTTGGCCCAAATGAAAAGGTCAACATTTTGTAATATCGGTATGGAAATGATGATAACTGTATAACAAATACTCTTTTCTTTAAAACTATTTCTTGAAGTTTTGCTAAACCCTTAAATTATGCAGATCCGGTTTGCGAAAATGAGCCCTTATCCTACCGCGTCCTGTTTGTTTTGTTTTTTCACCAGGGCATATAACTCGGCTGTTCTTAATGTTACATCACATGAGGCAGTGTTGCAATAATTTACAATTATTAGATACACGAATGTAAATGCATCCATTTTCTGATAAGGATGAGGTAAGATAAGGGTTCACTGAAAATCTCAAAAATTAAAGTTTGAAATATAAGTATGAATATTATCAGACATTCAAGTGGATGATAACTAGTCTTTTTTCAATCTTATGCCGGCCAACTTTAGACTTCTAAAATGATCAAAAACATGATAAAGTATCATTAATGTCATGAGTTAAAAGGTTAATTATTCAAAAACGTCCAATAATTTTAGTACGAGTATGTCCGTTTTCCATATGTTTGTATTTATCCACACGCCAGTGAAAATCAAAATATGTTCAAATAACGCTTCTCGAAACACTCTAAAATCAGCCTTTCTACAGTTGTACCCCTACTTATGCCGTAGGTCTGCTAGTGTTGCCGTAAGTCCGAAATCTGCAATTGTTTAAGATATATTAACATTTCTGATAACTTTCAAAACAATTTCCGAAGTTTTGCTCAATTCTTAAAATATCTGGTAAGACAAAATAGACCCATATCCGACCTCGTCCTGTTTTATCTATTTTTCACTAGTGCAGATAACTCGGTCGTTTGGCTCTAAATATTATACATGGTCCATAAGTGCAACGAAGCGAATTCATGTTTATCTAACATGTTTAGATTACATTAGCAATTGTACAAAAATCATGTATACATTATCATTTCATTAGTTGGTTGAGGATTCTACTTCCATGTTAATCTTGGTGATATGTATATTCCCTATCTTCCATTATATGGCTATCAGAGAAATGGAAACATCCATAATCTGCGCAACACTTGGCCTTCCCCATAAAAATGACAGTCGAAATTAACCTGATCCATGAGAAACACCACAGACTGCTGCAAGAGACGTTAGACCAGTATTGGTGTATATCGTGAGCTGAAAGGTTTACCTTGGTAGCTCCTGGGAAGAGAACAACCACACTGCAGTTAATGTCCCTGATCAGGCTCCAGAATCCTTCCATGTTCCTGCTGCAGGGTGTCTGACTCACCACGTAACCATACCGAGACATGTGGGACTATTGGTAGGGAAATAGTTAAACACATATACATTGTATCACAAAAATAAAAGAGACTGAGCCCTTGCCACCTTCATATGAAATCTCTGCCAAAATCAGAGTCGATTGTACGATTCCGACTATATCAAGGGCATGTGTTAATGAATCATTATCAAATAGTCATGAAAACAGGTGTTCGCCAAAAGGTGAGCGTATCCTGCCCCACAGGTGTCATCCGTCACAAACACATGTAAAAGGCAAATTATGTGAAAAAGGCAAGTCGCCATAAAAGCATTTTTAGGCGGAATTTGAAACTTCATTTGTAATAGTAATGTGTTTTAAACAAGTGTGTCAGGATGGAAAGGGACATTGCTGTAAATAATTTCCAAAAGGTTTTAACCCAAATTACATTGATAACAGAACATACCATCTTATACATAACTCACTTGCAAAATAAAAGCAAAATGGTCCAACTGTCCATTTATCACCAATCTCCCTGGTAACTCAGCTGCAATAAAACGTTTATTGTCATGATCCTATATGCGAATGTAACTGTTGATGTATGCTGAACACGATATTGCAGGTTGTTCTATAATGTGAAACAAATACGTGTTCTAACAAAATGACCTGCTCAAACATATAGAGAATCTCACCCTCGTGTCTTTTGATATCAAATATATCAACGAGTGTTGAAATATTTGATATAAAAAGACACGAGGGTGAGATTTTATTTATCATCTTCATCATTCTTCCAACTATTTCAGTTTGTAGACAGTAAAAAAGCAGTGTCTTACGCGTAAAAAGTACTGCTAACTGCTTCAGTAGCAGAGCCATTTGTGATGTCATTTGATTGTGACGCCATGGTAACAATGACGTCACAATGGTCTGCAAAGCATTGTGATGCAATTTCATCTCACCCAAGCGATATATCCTGTGGGAGTCAGTTTTGGATGATAAACAAGTATACATACCATTTGGATCTTGTTTGTCTCTCTTTGCCCTCATTATCTGCATTGAGCAACGTTACAGGTTCAGAATAATTATCTCGCTATAATGTTAATGTGCTCAGTTTGCTTCCGTCGAAATGTGAATAAGACATATATATTATTCATATGTTACTGCAGTACGTACTCATATATACCAAAGCCATGTATGTATATACAATGTATTCTAACTTAAATGATTAACTTCAAAGGAGGTAACCGACTTATCCACTTTAGGTGAAATCGTACAGCTATATTTCAAGTCCAATTACCTGCAGCAGTTCAACAATCGAACAGCTACCGAGATTGAATGTTTGGGCTATCTGTCGTCTTTCTAGAAATTGCTGGCAAGGTAGACCCTGGTCTCCCATAGCAACTGCCTCCACCAAAGAAGAATAAACACATTCATACTGCTCCTGCAAAAAAACATGTTTCAATAAATCCCTTGTTAAATAATAATTTATTGTACAATAACTTCAGTTGTTTTGTCATGTGTGCAAGTGGAGGTAATCAATAAATAAACAATATTATCTTGTGTTCATTCCCACAGAGAATAAACAATATACAAATGACACAAATATAGTATGTATGAACGTGTTTACCTTTGTTTGTATCATTCCTTTCCTTTGATCTCTCAGTTTACACACAAAGTCAAAGATGTCAACTTCATCGTCAGTCTGAATTTTGTCCAGATGGTAGTCCAGGGTAATGTACGTTCCAGTTCGGCCAATACCAGCACTAAGCAGAAAGGTGTGTATATGAGTAAGTCTTACAGTTGTATGTGAAAGTTTCATAGTAAGACATGTACAACTACATTATGCCATTAAAATGTGTTTAATGTCACGCAATGTGTGGAATAATAAAAATGTATAACCCCGTTGAAATATAGTTGGAATTCAATTTCAGTAACTGTTATGTCTTCACTGACAGCTTCGAAACGTCACTTAAAGACGAGGTATGCTGATTTTGGTACTCGACAACAGTTACATACAAGAACTTTGGTCGACTGTTTTGTTCACTCTATTGTCAATGCCCTCCTATTGGTAAATTTAATACAGTCTGCCTCTCAAGCAGTGTGTGAATAGTGTTTTGAGTTCGCATAGTCAGATTGAAGAGAACATGGGTAATTGCACGTGTAGCACACACCTATCGTTTTAGTAACGAAATGAATGTAGTATTACAATGTGTGTTTGACTTCCGTGACCAAAGTAGCCATTAACACCCTATAACAAAGGAATGGTATACCTGCAGTGCACAAGAAGAGGTCCATCTTGACAAGTGGGGGCCTTCCGTACATGCCAAATGAAATTCAGCAAAGACGTTACTTCCGGAACTGAGTGGTCGGGCCATGCCACAAAATGAAACTGCGTGACGATCCGACTTTCTTCTGTCTGTTTGAACAGACAAGATAAGATAAATACGTAGACATAACAAAATATGCACGAGAACGAGTGACACAGTGGTTACGTTGCCGGGATTCTCTGTGCAGATTTGCATCGTTAGCCGTTCAATGATTCGATAGGTCTGAGTCCATGATGCCTTGAAACAGTGATTCCGACATTCTCCCGCCTGTTATAATAAATATGAAGACAAAACATATTTTAAGTATCCAGTTTCAACCAAGAAATAAGTTTGTACATTTCGTCATAACAGATGCAGGGTAATCGGTGTTCTAGACTTCTCTGTGAAGATTGTTTCATAAGTCGTTCAATGATTCGCTGGGTCTGAATCCTTGATCCCGTGATTACGATACCTTGGTCTGTAAGCACCATATCCGTGCTGGTTGGTTTCAGTAACTCTCTACGATTTGCAGCGCGTTGGTGTTTCCTCTGACACACATCGACATAAGTTAATACTTGTCAAGGTGGCATAAAAACCATCACACATGTCTCGTTTTGCCACTGCTTTTCTACAAATAGTTACGTACTAGTATGTCGGAAAACCTTTGTTAACAAATGTCTTCAACTTATACATAACACATAGTACACTCCAGGATTATAAGCCCTCTTGACTGTCTGTAATTCAAGTTAAGTGATTATACACCTAGAAATTATCACAGTACTGCGTACTCTAGGTTCTTTTCCATTTTAAACAGCGATTTGTTTGATAAATGTTTTCACGAAACATATTTTTTTGCTTACAATATGACATACACATATTGAAAAAAGGTAAAAAAGGAAACCGGTTATCTTATATTATAAGTCAACACAAGAGAGTTGCCCACCTCGATTATCCATTGGCAAAATAACAGGCAAAATAGCGGTGACAGTTCTATGAATGGTGTTCGCAAAAAGGGTAAGCATGTACTGCCCCACCGGTCGCACTCTCCAGTCACACAATTTGCAGAAAATAATAAGGGTTTATATTTGAGGCCTTACGCCGAATTTGTTTGTTGCCTTATGACATGTTTTGTAAATATTTAATGGCGACATAAACTGCCGAGCAAATGAAAGTATGCACCCATGTTTGATTGTGACTAGAAATGAAACAAACAAGGGCCTGTTATTTGATGGTGATGTATGTGATGCTGGTATCACAGGCTATATTACATGCATCATATCAACGAGGTTCTGACATGTGACGCGTACATGACGTCTCAAGGGATATATGGGAGTTGCAATTTCACAGTAAACAGTGATGAGCAGAGTGAAGTGTGAATTTTCAAGTGCAAACTTTCCTTTGCCCGGCAGTTTATAATGGACAATACTTTCGTCGCTTCTTTGACTTATATAATAAGAAAGGGTTAGAAAGAGAACTTTTGCTAGGTGTGTAAGCTTACGTGTCGTTCTGTGACAGAGAATTCCCTGATGATGTAATGAGAACGTGTGTCCCTTCTAGCAACAGTGATGGTTAGGTCTCCGATGACGAAAGGACGTTTCATACTCCAATACTGTTCACACTTGTCCTAGAGTAAACAATGAGAACATAACTTTGAACAATATTTAGGCTTTGCTGATTAACACTATCAGAGACACTTTGTTGCATATTGCATACTAATTATTCTCATTATAACCTTACAGCCAGGTTATAATGTATTTTTCTTAACTTTCTTTTTGATAGTCTGTGAGAGATATAATATCCTTGAGACATTGAGGATAAGATTTAGTTTACCTGAGTGGAGCGACAATCTTCAGAGGTAAACGAAGGCCACATAGACAGGTATTTGGCCTACGCCTTTTGTGAAACGTATCCCTACAAAAATATATTTATTACAATACCTTCCCCTTTTCAACAAGGTGTGTAAGCATGACGATCTTGCCACATTTCTTCTCCCATATCATCCTCCAGAAGTCTTTCAGTGTCCTTTCTTTTGGGGCTATATTAGTACAGAGCCAAATCATTTTACACCCTGTTTCTGGATACATTTCTGGTAATATTTTCCGGTAAAGTTAAACGGACCACTTAGGGAACTATTTAAATTAATAAAGTATTTTCCTGATGAGCATTAGTTCTTTGAGTAACATTTAGATGAATTATTTAGTCATCATACCATCCATCTTTAAAATTCTACTATTGAAACTGATTTTACTACCTTGTGCTGCGATGTATGCCATGTCCGTTTTAAATCCCTGTTTGAAGAATAAATTACCTGTTTGTATTGAAACTCTTCTCAAACATTTCACATTTGCAACGTGTTTTAGAAAGAAAAAGCTATGTGAGACATTATGTCGAGAAGTATAGTTGACATTGAAAGTAATATTATCTTATACCCCGCCCTGATTAAGTCAGCCCTGATGTTTTGTTGATAGTTACGGACATGTCAAGGAGTGAATGAGTTAAAATTCAAGTCGGATTGGCATAATATCAGTCAAATATTGTCGAAAGTCTGTTACATCCTCAAGATGGAGCCACATTCCTGATCCGTACTTACGTTGATGTAGCTAGCGTTGATATAGGTGGAGGATGGGTCTCCTGGCAGGAAACTGAGAGCCACTCGGTTGTAGTCATCTGATTGGTTGAATGAATAAAGACTCATTAGACTTAAGGAAAACACATGGCAGGCAAGTGCACGTTGAGGATTCTGCAATGTTACTCAACATTCCACATGTATCGTATCTGAAACGTCCACTAGTTGCAAAATATATAGAACACTGTGGAATAAACCATTGCTGATCATTTTCGCTATCAAAGATTATGTTTTATAACCTAAGTAGTAGATTATGATGGATATTTTAGGTTTCATTTATTAGTTTCTCATTCTCTTTGGAAAGTGAGTTTAACACCTTTTTGATCATAATTTCAGTTATATCACGGCTTATCTGCTTGAGTCAGTGAGTTGGGTTTAACACCGCTTTTAACAGTATTCCAGTTATATCGCGGCGTGTCAGCTAAATGTGAAAGGAAAGCCCGAAGTGATGCAGGTCTCAGACGTTTACCACTTCGGTGAAACCCACGAGCACGGGTATGGTGCTGACAAACCTAGAAACATAATCGGGGCGATCCGGGGTTTTTCGAACCCACAATCATAGGTTTCTGGCGTCTCCAAGGGACGCAACTCTGCACAGCGAATCACGGCGCTTTAGACGACTGGCCCACCCGTGCCCCCCGTGAGATCACAAGAGACAGTTGTTGCCAACGCAAGCTTCAGATAAACGATATGATTGTATGAAACTTAACACCAGGAATAATTTTGTGCGTGAGATATATATCTGATGTGCAACTGTACTTTATTAGTTCATGTTATCCAATTTCGACCACGGTATTTGGCGCAACTTTTTTTTCGAAACCCACAATCATAAGTTTCTGGCGTGTCCAAGGGACGCAACTCTGCTCTGCGAATCGCGGCGCCTTAGACGACTGGGCCACCCGTACCCCCGTGTCGTCTTGAAGAAGACGTAGGTCTTTGGTGAAACACACGAGCGGAAACACAATCGTGGCGAATCTGAGATTCGAACCAACAATCATAGGTTTCTGGCACACATAAGAGTTGCAATTTTGCACAACCAAATGCGGCGTCTTGGGTAACTGGGTCACCCGTACCCGATCTTGTAATGATCAATATCAAATGGACAGAAAACATACATGGGTAGTATGACATGTATCTGTTTTTCCCTTTGTTCATGAAAACTCTTGATTCGTCAAATGTGTTTGTAAATCCTGCAGGTAAACTCTGAAAATATATAGTTGATTATCAGTTATTAGGTAATGTCAAATTCATGTTACATTTAATTCCGTAGGTTTGATTTTGTTTAGCACATTTCCATCCACGTTTTTAACACAAAATAAGACAAAATCAATTAAGAAAAAGTACCTTTTTGACAAAAAACTGCCATTTGTTTTCTATTCTGTTCTAATAATGAAGAAGATACAATTTTAACGTCATTCGATGAAGTACTTTACCTCATATTCACTTTTAAATCGTGTCTCTGTCTGTGTTACTTGTGCTACATGTTCCTCTAATGCAGCTGTTGTTATTGAAGTACAAATGATGGGTTCAGGCTGGGCGGGCACGTTTTGAGCTTCACCCTTCTCCGCATCATCGTGGGTTGTCTCTTCAGCAACACGTCCGATGTCATTTACCCTTGCACTTTCGCCATGAAGTTGCACAACAACATTTGCAACTGCATGAACGAAAGAGAAGACATGGCAGACCAAAACAGAAACGTAATACATTCAATGTCCTGCAAATACCCCTACATTATCTATCATTTTGAAAGTAGAATTGTAAGCCTTTTTGTTACGGAATTCAACAACAGTGTTGAAATTTCATCCAGCAGTTTCTCACAATATTGACAAGAAGTATTGACTCTTATCATGCATTGTCCTTTTAGTTGACAACACGGATTACATGTCATTTATTTGAAGAAATAGTGAGTGAGTATGATTTTACGCCGCTTTTTGCAAATTGAATATTCCAGCAATATCACGGCAAGGGACACCTGAAAATGGGCTTCACACATTGTACTCATGTGGGGAAACGAACCCGGGTCTTCGGCGTGGCGAGCCATCGCCCCACTTGAAGTAATAGATCCCGCGAGTCAGAATGGAATTTCATAACCCATTGCTCTTTAAGTATTTGACATTCACGTGAATATCTGTCATACTAACCATTACAATCTTACAGCTTATAGTGGGGAGCTTGGCAGTGAAAGAAGTGGGATTACGAACAATGCAACATTTTGACGACACAACGACTTTCGAATGCATGCCTTTTGAAGATTTGGTTCTGCGAGGCAAACGTACATGCACTAAAATCAATGCTAAACAAAGATAATTGCTTTGGTTAATGCTTTGAGTGAGTTGCTCGAAAACTGTACATATGTGAATGTGCCTTACAAACATTAGATCATGCACTAAGAAGCAAGTTCAATGGTGTTGAATGACAGAAGACGTTGGTAAAGTGGTGTTACCGACGCTGATTTATGTAATCTGTAACAAGTGGATTCCAGGAATAAATTTGAAAAAAATGTACGATTAACATGCAATATTAGTGTCAAATAGTATGCCGAGATCTATATACTAAGTGGAATACACTTTAGTAAGTGAATGCGATGTTAAAACGTGGCGTTACCTGTTCTAATTATGGCATCCTTCAGGGATATGAGCTTCGTACGAACCCAGACAATGGTGTCTCTAAGTAAAACGTGTTATATAAATAATACATTGCCTCTGACACAGATATTTACATAGAGTTAACAATGTAATACCATGAGTAAAGTCATATTACTCCAAAACATTCCTTGGATCTAATTTTTTCTTGATGCACGAAAACTCATTTCAGAATTCCTGAAAGGTTCTATCCTGCGTCATCATAACATGGAGTCAGCGGAACGTTACTTGATATTCGTCATGTACATATATTTTCGGAGAGATACATTCTTGTCGACAATCTTCATTCTCACAGTCAGTTTGAGGTTTATTGCTTTTATTACAAATTCGAAGTGTTCGTTGTTCTAGCAAGCTTCAATGATGTAATGTAGTCCTCAACAATATAAGAAAGCGACTGTGTTATAATATAACATTGTTGTCACAAGAGTTTCGAGTTTCTACACTAAATATGCACTTCTAAACCATAGCTAAACCAAATACATATTGTTACTAATCCGTTAACAACAATATATAAATCCACAGTGTGTGTTGCCCAACAAATTAGTATTCAAAAGTGCATTGCAAACGCTCGACCATTGAGAGAAATAGATTAGTATTTGATCCCCACAGCACATCACATGCTTGTGAAACAAATCTGGACACGCCAGAAACCCATGATTGTGGGTTGGAATCCTGGTTCGATCCGATTCTGTTTCTAGGTTTGTCAGCACCGCACCCGTGCACCCGTGCTTGTGGTTTTACCAAAATGGTACACGTCTGAGACCTGCATCCCCTCAGGCTTTCCTCCCACAGTCGACACAGATGACATGCCGTGACGTAACTCGAATACAGTTCAAAGCGGCGATAATCCCAACTCACTCCCTCATTCAATTACTCTAAAGTTCAATTGTTGTTGTTTTTCAGTAATGCATGACTACCTTTTCACGAATATAGCACATGCTGTGATGATAGCAATTGTCAGAATCAGCATAAACGCCACAAGCCCAGCTACTACTGTAAAACAAAAGATAGAAAACACCCACAGTGGCCTATCAACAATGTTTCATTTGTTTGTCATGTTCACCTGACGGCAGGAACGTATAAAGAATTTATCTCCCTAATAATTATATGATTACTGTCGGTGGCCGATAATGTGAAACAACACACAATCCTCATAATTACATGTTTGACAAAGTAGACACAATTTATTAATAACAACTTCTTTAATACTGTAAAGGTGACGTTTCGGTATAGATCATTATACCGTTGTCAAGCAAGACTGAATGAGGAACATGGTACAGAAATTTCGATTCAAATTAATTACAAAGTTGCACGTTGTTTTCATAGAGCTTCTAAATAGAAGTAGTCGGATAAGAGTTAGTTTCATCACTACGCCATCAATGTCGCTATCATTGTCTACCCTTTCAGACAAAGAGGTTACGTGGCATTTCATTCCAATCAAGTTTATGACGAAAGCGTAGGTCATCGCTTCATGATTACATTTGTATAACAATCGACGTGTTGTACAAAGATCGTATTGTACTGACAAAGTGACATCGCTCGATAAATATAGATACCTAGATGTTTTATTCATTTACATTTGTAGACATAGGATATAAACTATATGTTTGGTCGGATGCACGCACTATTATTTGGTGAGTAATCCACCTGTATCTTGTTATAACCAGACTAACAGAAAATGATAGTCGTTCTGCAGATACCCAGAATTACATGTTCTGTTTCGTGAGATATTAGAGTATATCCCAGTTACAACACATAGTTGATACGAAAAGATATCTAAACTGACTCTAATTGACTGTCACACGGCTAAGATACAGCTCTGTACCAAACGATGCCTTGATTAGAGAATAAGATAAACATTACCTCCCTTTCCCAAAGACTATTGTGGCAGATACATATTATTGTATTATATAGTAATGTAAATATTAGTTTTAAGTCATTTAAGCGTTGCATTGATATTTGTATAATGACAGTTGCTTTAAGAATTGCAGGTTTATTATTTCTGATTTTAACTAATGAATGTATTTTTTCTATCTACAGGTTTGGTCATTTTGATACAGACTATAGTTATAAGGACACAGAAGTTTTCAAAGTTGGGTCTATTATTAGCTCTATAGTTAGTTTCATTCTAATATAATTAAGGGTAGATAGGTAGGGCTACTACATTATTACGTGGCCTGATTTAATGAACACCGATTGGATCATTCAAACTCTTGCCCTCTTTCTTCACATTCACCCTTTGCACCATCAGGATTGTAATACCATGAAGTCATAAAGAGATGCAAATACCTCACAGGTTAGTTTAATCGTTTACATTGGTTTATGAGTATGTACACTTTATATGTTATATTTGTATTGTGTGGGTATAGATAAAACCAGTTAATTCAACCTTAATAATGCTAAATCTAACCTAAATGTAATTAACACTTTAGTTAGGTTTTAGTGCATTTCGGAGTATAGAATTAATATAAAAAACTATCAAATAACTCATATAATTCATTCAGGTATTTATATTTTCCCTATGAGTGAATTGTTGCATGTTTGAGTGATTGATTGACTGATTCCATATATGAGAGGAAGAATAGTGTATATGTGAATGTAACTACGAATGTGATTTTAGCCTAAGTTGTTTTGATGTGTTCCATGCGTTTGGAATGATAATAGATATGTTGATTTGCAGTTACTGTAGAATTAATGTTGCATATTCTTTAAACAGATTTTAGGTACGCTTGGTATATCTGGCTTTGCGGAGCTTAGTGAACGTCGTGTGCACCCTAGTGCCATACACCGGATAGGAACAATGTGATGTTGCATTCTCGTATATGTTCCATTTGACATGCGTATTGCATTAAGACGCCTGTGCCATATATATTTAATTTGAAGATATGAGTTAATCAAGGAGTTATCTCCCCGTGTTGTATTGTCATATAATCTATCATTCATCATTCACCTAATTTGTGTAATGGACTGTTTTTAAGCCTCAAGTATAATGTATGACGCTGTATTTATTGAATGATATATTGTTTCAGGGTGTGTTAATTGACAAAGGAATAAAAACGTTCTCACGCCGTAACCAGTGTCTTGGACTTTTGATTTTGCCCCAACACTAAAATCGTTTACACTATGCCAATCCTGTTCATGACTAGATTCTGACAAAGATTGAGGATGACTTATGCTCTGGTATTCCCAAATAAAACTGAACCCAAACTGAACAATAAAGACCTACATGTGAAGGCCCAATATATTTTACTGTAACTTTCTGCCCGAAGCATCATATAATAACATTTCTTTGGAAAGAGGCAATCGGACATACTCAATAACTTGATCCACTTACCAATAAGTGTTTTATATGCATAGGGATATAAAGGATAACCCCAAATTCACCTCGAACCGAACCATATTGTTTGGTGTTGACGATTTGACACCGAGAAAGCGCCTGCATTCCAATGTAAGTATGGTTTCTATTTCATCCTTCTGGTGTAGACCCCAGACTTCGGAACCATAGAGTAAAATTGGAGCTATTTTCATATCAAATATTTTAAAAGATAGGTCATGTCGAAGAGGATGATATTTGACAATGACGTTAAAATTCCAAACATTTCCTTTTTAGCAGCATTAGAGAAATGACTTGCGCAGGACATACTTCCAGTAAAAGTGACACTGAAATACATGTTCTTATAGGAAAATTCAGTCTCCAACTTTAAAGCTTCATAAAAACCATATCTCATTTATCGACAACACTGAGCCTTACTTTTATCCAAATTAACGTGTAGATCATAACCAATGCAATACTTATCTGGAACGCCATTACGCTTCTGAAGTCCTCCTAAGGTATCTGAGATTAGGATATTATCAAGTCTTTGACAGGCATTTAGAAGTGATACACACAAGGAAGAGATTTTGTGGATGTCAACTTCTTTATTATAAGTAGCACACCGTTTCGGAGTATATACTTACTCCTTCATCAGGTGTAGAGTAAGCATATACTCCGAAACAATGTGTTCCTCCTAATAAAGAAGGTGACATCCACAACTTCGCTTCCTTAGAATACTGTCGACGCAAACAATAACAGGAATAACTCTCAGATAGTTCTCTTATAGTAGACCTAAAACCTGTACTACTTAGAAGACTGGATAAAACCTTATTACACGTATATTTATAATCCCTTTTCATCTACAACGTAGTATCCTTGTAAACGTATTCCTTGATTTTAAATACGTAGATAAGGTGATATCGTTCTAGATATTCTGAGACATCGTCCTCTCTCCCATCTGTGGTACTGACATTTAGAGTCAAACCAGGTTGCGAGTAACTGTTAGACTTACAAATGCTTTCCAAGCATAGATCAACTGCATAAATTGCGTCTGTGGAAGAGTTGATAGCATCATCTATGTTATCAGGTGGTAACAAAGTACATTGTTCAAACAATCAGCCACATTTGACAATACTATTTTTCCTCAAACTTTTGTAGTTTCAACATATGCCACACATAATGGCAGTTTTCACGAGACGCACGTGCGGCCCCTGCTGATTCGGCGGAGTCACGTGCTCGAAAGGAACAAGATAGTGCTGAGGATTCTGCTCTCGACCCAATATTGTTTTTTACAGTTGGATACAATAATGTAGTCATTTACACTGAAGTCTGAATGACCAATATAAGCAAAATCCCCCCTTGCTAAACCCGTACCACAGCGACCATTTAGAAGAGACACATCGACATGTTTACAATATATTTTCCGGCACTGTCTACAATGTCACATGATACTGTATCTTTGGTGATACCAAAGGATCAATTTGAGATATACTCGTCACCTAAAACCTCGGCTATATCATCATCAATATGATCAAACAATGTCCCTGTCCGGGCGTTGAAATCCCCACCTATGAGGACATGCACATGTCTGTTTAATGACCCAATAACGTCTGTAAGGGAGTTGAAAAACGGCGTTAGCGTTGCATACAAAAGAATCCCAAAAACACTGAGATTGGAATCAAAGTCAGACATATTCATCTAATAAGTATATTAATAATTTAAATGATCGTATATCTAAATACAATAACATGGCGCTTTGTCAGTGTTGACTGTTTTCTCAAGTGGGAATCTTGGTTATTGTTTTAAATGCTGCAAAGTGCTGTCACATTGCGTGTACATTCACACGGCTTCGTTGTTAGAATTCTCTTAAGAACCATTATGAAATTTAGAACTGGTAACTTAAAAACCGAAACAGGAAATTTCAGCGTGTAGAATTAAGACTATATATGTATAATAGTTGAAAAGAGTGCAAAAGTAATATTATCTTGTCTATACTATGTTAGATAAATGTATCATGATATTCCCTGGCTAAGTTAAATATTTATTACTAACTTGGCTCTGTTGTGGTAACGAAGGTGCTGGAAATCGTGACATCCGTGTTCCCAGTTGTGGGCGTCTCAGTTGTGATGTTCCCACCAGTAGATCTTTGAATGTTAGTATTTCCATTATCTGCGAAATATGAGAAACCCAAGTATTCACAGAAGTAATATTGATGCAGTTTTCAATGAATATTTAAATGCCATTGTCATAACGGTACTCTTACTATTGCAGCATACTCTACGTAGATTGTTTCCGACCTAGTTAAAATGGCATACAATATTGTCGGCCTCAATAATTATCCCTCGCCGTGTATCTGTCCTGCCTAAAACGTTATAGCAAATGATTATTCAATGGAGTCACATACCGTGAAATGATTTTCAAGTAACAGCTCCAAAAATATACAATATCATTGTCTAAGGAGTGAGTGAGTGAATGAGTGAGTGAATGAGTGAGTGAGTGAGTGAGTGAGTGAGGAGGGAGGGAGGGAGTGAGGTTACCCCACCGCCCCTATGCAACGCGTGAGCGTTCTAACATCTGTAAAATACATTTAGTACTATATAACGTTTTCGAAATTAAGACAATGTGCATCCTTTAATGGATATGGGTTTACCTTCAAACACACAGTCTCTTTATAGCATCCATTGCATTTCCCCAATTTAAGGTTCACAAGGAAAGAATAAATCTTACGTGCATATTTCAACATTTTACATGAACATTGTTATACATTACTGTCGTGAGCGTTTCACTAACATTCAATCTCTAACACATAATATCTCTCTAATAATAACAGAATATCACTTAGCTTAGAGATTGTAGTTAGATAAATACAATACATAATTACGCGTACATGTATATATATTTATAATCATTGTTTTTGTCCCAGGCACTTAAAGTTGTCATCCACTTCGTTGTTAAACAAAGGATCATAGCAGGGTTGAACACTTTCTTACCATTGCTACAAACGTACTCTTCAATGTCGTGAAAAAGTACCACATGCAAGCAGTTGTATACGTGTCATTTAGGAATCGTTATAACTTGATATAACTAACTTGATCATCTCAGAATAATAACTTAAACTTACTTGTCGTGCTTTGGGATGAGGCTAAAACTGGTATGAAGGTCACCACAAACAGCCAGTTGAGCAGGACGGCCATACTTGTCGTGATTGAAAACACGGAAATGAAAACAAATGTTATCGAATTAAGGATGTGTATATATTTATTTATTTGGTATTGATTTGTTTTGATAGTCATTAATTGAGTTTTGTAGACAAAGACATGCACTGTATGTGTGAATAATGTAGTGTCAGTATCACTATGTCCTTAAAGAACGTGAAAATGTTTGCTTTGATAGTTATTGCGGCACACACTGGCGCAATGATGACTTTACACCCCTATCACATATATTGCATCATGTTAACGGACTTTTCTCTTGTTAATTAAGAAACGCGCTTAACATGAAATCAGACCACGCTGGCCCAATTCAGGTTTTTCGGTGCGGTTTTCATATTATTTGATATCTGTAACTACAACTGCGATATTGAGGTGTAGCCAATACATATTTATACATCAAAGTGACAATACCGCTACCGCTTCAATGACAGCGCGTGGAGCAGTACATCCAATGTTAACAAAGGATAAATACACAAATGGAAATAGTTTTTCTCGTTTTTGGATATTTTCTCAATGAAGTTGACCATTCTATGACATATGTTTATCTAAATGTGTACACTCGTCAAAAATGAAGCAGATGAAAAACATATGGAATATCTTAAAAGTACTGTGTAAGTTATGAGGAGTCGTATCTGGGTAGGGGAGTATTATTGAGGGGAATCTATGTTCACTTGTTGATAACAGAAGGGATGTTATTGGCTTTAACTTATAATAATGAAATTAAAACCCAATCTCACGTTAATTCTAAAATCTCATTCATGTGAATAGTCGTGCTCCTTTACACATAAACATAGCACGGTTACTTGTAAGGAAAGTTATCCAGCATACATTATGCATTTAAATTTTCAAAGGTGAAAGTGTTCCGTCCGCCATTTTCCTATGGTGACTTGATAACGCGTGTTATTAATAACACATTATATAATAAATTATGGCTCAGGTTTAAAGTACTAAGTTATGAATGAAAATTTTACCTAATAGGATACAGTAAAGAAATTCCGATTGTTTTTAAATTTCATGCACGGACGATCACGATATTTAATGACGAGCCAAAACATTATATTTCAACATGATATCCGACAGTCATCGCACCCAATGACATCCATTTAGCAGGTGGACTTATGCATTTTTTTCATAGGAAAAATTGCTTTCTTACAAAATGAGACATTTGCATGTAAACATTGCCTTAAAAGACAACTTCTGGGTTTTCTGATTTTTTAACCGACAGATCAATATACTTATTTACGGACAAAATTTTGAAATTCGTTTTTTCCCACCGACTGACACTCAAATTTGATTTGAAAAACTACAGCGCATAGAGAGTTTAAATAACGAGGTCCCCTCGGATCCTGCATGCTGTGCAGTTGGTATACAAAGAATGTTTGTTCACAATGTCATCCAGCCGCACGACCTTTCTCATTGCTTTTTTGTTTTTTTACTAGTCGACTGTCCCGTTCAGTACTTGAAGGAGACACGGGTGGGCCAGTCGTCTAAGGCGCCGCGATTCGCTGTGCAGAGTTGCGACCCTTGGGCACGCCAGAAACTTATGATTGTGAGTTCGAATCCCGGTTCGCCCCGATTATGTTTCTAGGTTTGTCAGCACCATACCCGTGCTCGTGGGTTTCACCGAAGTGGTAAACGTCTGAGACCTGCATCACTTCGGGCTTTCCTCCCACGCCGCGATATAACTGGAATATTGTTAAAAGCGGCGTTAAACGCAACTCACTCACTTACTCACTCAGTACTTGAAGCGGAAATCATGCAACATATAGCCTGATGGCGTTTGTTTGATAAATGTGTCTTTAATTACTTGCTTTCTGATTGTTATATATATCTATGACTGTTAACTTCATTGTCCTTTTGTAGTTAATGCGAAAGTGTTCCGTGGCGCAACTTCCGTCAAATAACTGAATGAAATTTCAAATAATCTGTGTTGGTATCAATTACAGTTGAAATGAATTCGTGTGCATGTATGAAGGAAATATATGTTTAAATAGTTTCATTTGCAGCACAGACGGCCGCTTTTAATTAAAAACAAAGACAGCAAAAAGTGAATTACTCTAGGTCAGTCATCCAAGTACATTGGTCAGTGGTAATCAGTAGAGGTGAGGTAAGTCGCTGACTGTTATGGATGCATATAAGGACTATATTGCTCTGAGTGATATTGTCTTTGTTATTGAGATTTAGATGCCATAACAGTGTGATAATTTAGTGTTGCAGTGACAACCCGATCTTCTTTCGTTGGCCCTTGCGACAAGCATTGGCTACTGGAGACATTTCTTCCCCGAATCACCAAGGGTTTAGAATGGTTTCGCATAGAAACTGACCTGGGAGTGGATCTTTTAATTTCATATGCTGGACTCATTTCGTGGTCCTACCAAGTTGAGTGTTTGCACAAGAAACGTACACAGCCCATTAACTGTATGATGAATTTTTTCACCATTTGTCGATTACCGAGTACTTAATACATTTACCTCAAAGTCAAACGTGCCTGTGTAAATGTATATCTTTTGCATGTATGGTTCTACCATTGTGTTACTGAAGATTTGACATTGCAAAGAATGCAAAAGGCATGCACAAACGCAAAGAAAAAAGTGAGACTTTAAAACGCAAACATATAATATATAAACACATACATGTATATAAACATCAGCGTACGTCTGACAACGCTACATGTGTGCCCGCAATTGACCTAAACATGAACACAACTGACTAGGCTTGTGTATAAATCCTGACTATCAGCTGATTATCTCAACCGTTGTACATGTCATAGTAATGGTGTGTCTGAATCGTACACTTTGCGATACCGCTGATGTTTCTACTGTCACGATCTTCATACAGTGATGTATCGTTGCTCATGATGTCAATAACTGGATTGTCTGGACCAGACTCGATAATTTACAGACCGCCATCTAGTAGCTGGTATATTGCTGAGTACGGCGTTAAACAACAAACAAATAAATAAGCAAACATACAGCGATGTGTATTCCTATCGTTTCTAAGGACAAAGATCTTAACATCAGCGTGTATGTTAAACAATATCTAGTGAATTCAAAGGATAATAAAGGAATTAGAGATTAGTATTTCATAATAAGCATACCTATTCACGATGGCAGCACGTGATTATAACAATAGACACCCATGGACCACATGTGCGGTGTTATATTAGTGGAGACGCCGCAGCGGATTTAAATTAAAGCGGTTTATCCATGCATTTCTCATACCTAACGTTTGATTGGAAAAATCTAATTCCATGCGTATGAGTGCGGTTATACTTACTTAAGTAAGTTTATTTATTTATTATCCGTTTGGAAGCTATGTAATTAGTAGACTATGCCTGGTGCAAATTGATACATTTTTGAGTGTTTGAAGTAATGGACTTTTCCTGGACTAATCACTGATATATCTGAATGATTACTGATATATCTGAATGATTTGACATTGATTTGACATTGTTTTCAATTTTGAATCACCATAAGACAAGATCGTCATGTTAGTTGTATTAAAATCCAGTTGATTGTCTATTATGGGTCAATATTGCCATGCGATCAAGAATTTTCTGTTGATGGATAATTAATTTATATTAACATTTGAATATAAATTATTGTACACTTAAGTATCCTTAGGTAATAATGGCAAACATACATGGGCATCTGATGTCAGAATACTATTATTTTCTCGTGGTTCTTCCTATGTTTGGATTGCCCAAGATGTTGGGGATAAGTTATCATTTGTTTCTACCATTAAGCAAAGACTCGTTGATATGTTCGTTCAAAGTTGGTCGGAAAGTACTAGATCCTCTCACTTTCTTTCTCATTATGCTTCCATTAAATCTGTGTTTGAACCTGAGAAATATTTAGCATTAAATGATACATCCCTTCTAAGAGTGATGTGTAAGTTTATAATCTCTTTACATTGTTTAAGAATACAAGATACTAGGAAGCACAAAGACATAGACTATTCAAATATTATTTGTACATATTGTCCATTGAAGACGAGTTCCATGTTCTGTTTATCTGCGATGCTTTTGCTTCCCAAAGAAAGAAATATGCTGAACCGCAAAAGAAACGTCACCCCAAGTAACATTCCATGAAAAGTTGTCATTTATATACCTGGGTAATTTTTGTCAAAGTTTCTATAATTTAACATTACCTTGTCCGGAAAAAATGAAATTTGATGATAAAAAAACAATGCAGATGACAATAAAACCGATCGCCCAAACGCATCACGGCAACGGCCATGGTAACCCGATGCACGTGAGTTCCGTGCAAATTGAAATGCACATGCGTTCCCTCATTTCTTGCCCTATAAAAATCCACCCAGATCGGATAACATTCATTCGTTATTGAATTGCTGCCACATACCAAGATTGACAGGAAATCAGCGACACGCCCTTGGACGATTGCAAGCTGGACAAACCGCCCGGCAAGTAGTAAATGCATTTCAAGTTCATGTAAGGACCATATGCAGGCTCCAGCAACGGCACCAGGCCACAAACACTACAGATGACCGACCACGTAGTGAAGACCAAGAGTCACAACCCGACGTCAGGATCGTCAGATTGTGCTACAGCATCTTCAAGATCGCTTCGTTACTGCTGCGGAAACTGCTCGACAGACCATGGGGACGCACCAGCGACACATTAGTGTGTCGACAATTGACGAGCAGACACCTCCACTGTCACAGGCCACACCGAGGACCCATTCTGACACCAAGTCATCGCCGGGGCCGTCTTCATTGGGCAACACAGCACCAGAATTGGCGGCAACAGCAGTGGAGTCCTCTTCTCAGCCGTTACTGTATCTTAACAGCAGATGGCAGAGAGAGTGAGTCTGGCGACGCCGTGGCGAACGTTATTAGGATGCTTGTGTTGTTGAGAGAGACTCGTGGGGTGGTCCGAGCATCATGGTGTGGGATGGAATTGGTCTTGCACAGAGGGTCGGCCCTGTGGTCTTCCAGAACATCGGTCCAGGGAGAAGAATGGTGTCACAGCAGCTCGGTACAATGATCAAGTCTTGAGACCACACGCCATACCTCATTTGGCACGTCGCCGCAACCACGAGTTTCAGCATGATAACGCCCGTGCGAGCGCAGCAAGAGACTTCCTCCAGCAGAATGGCATCAGAACGATGCAGTGGCCTGCCCTCAGTCCCGATTTAAATCCTATTGAGCACCTTTGGGACAAAATTCAAAGACGGCTGAATGACGTCCGACTTAGGCCGACAACTGCAGCTGAACTGCGTCAGGCGTGGGCTCAAGTGCCCATGGCCTTCATCAACCGCCTCATCCATTCCATGTATCGGCGTTGCACGGCAGTCATCAATGCACATGGCGGACACACGTGATACTGACTTGTGATGCCATTTTCTCAGAGACAAGTTGTGTTTCACTTTAAGAACATTTGACACTTTATTATAATTTCAACCTTGATGATCAGTTTTGTCAAGTTTCATCTTTTTAATATGTCTCAAAGTATGTTTACAGTGTTTGGACAAATAAGGTTTCTCATATATCTATCCATTGTGACGTTTCGTTTACGGTTCAGTATATTTGCCACATTTAGAAAGTACATATGTAAATCATCAAACCATGTACTATATACTCAACTCGAATGCCGTGTAACTATAAAGTCAGTAGCCATCTTTATCAAACACATTTTCTATAAAATTTCAAAGAGTTCATAATTTAGCAAATGCCGTGTCAGTCACCTGACTACCAACTTTATTCTGCTCACTGAATTGTTGTCAGGACCACAAGGCCGAAATACTGAATAAACACGTCTGTCTGCCTGCCTGCCTGCCTGCCTGCCTGCCTGCCTGTCTGTCTGCCTGCCTGCTGTCTGTCTGTCTGTCTGCCTGCCTGCCTGCTGTCTGTCTGTCTGTCTGTCTGTCTGTCTGTATGTCTGTCTGCCTGCCTGCCTGCCTGCCTGTCTGTCTGTCTGTCTGTCTGCCTGCCTGTCTGTCTGTCTGTCTGCCTGCCTGCTGTCTGTCTGTCTGTCTGTCGTCTGTCTGTCTGTCTGTCTGTCTGTATGTCTGTCTGTCTGTCTGTCCGCCTGCCTGTCTGTCTGTCTGTCTGTCTGTCTGCCTGCCTGTCTGTCTGTCTGTCTGTCTGCCTGCCTGCCTGCCTGTCTGTCTGTCTGTCTGTCGTCTGTCTGTCTGTCTGTCTGTCTGTATGTCTGTCTGTCTGTCCGCCTGCCTGTCTGTCTGTCTGTCTGTCTGCCTGCCTGCCTGTCTGTCTGTCTGTCGTCTGTCTGTCTGTCTGTCTGTCTGTATGTCTGTCTGTCTGTCCGCCTGCCTGTCTGTCTGTCTGTCTGTCTGTCCGCCTGCCTGTCTGTCTGTCTGTCTGTCTGTCTGCCTGCCTGTCTGTCTGTCTGTCTGTCTGCCTGCCTGCCTGTCTGTATGTCTGTCGTCTGTCTGTCTGTCTGTCTGTCTGTATGTCTGTCTGTCTGTCCGCCTGCCTGTCTGTCTGTCTGTCTGTCTGTCTGTCTGCCTGCCTGTCTGTCTGTCTGTCTGTCTGCCTGCCTGCCTGCCTGCCTGCCTGTCTGTCTGTCTGTCTGTCGTCTGTCTGTCTGTCTGTATGTCTGTCTGTCTGTCTGTCCGCCTGCCTGTCTGTCTGTCTGTCTGTCTGCCTGCCTGCCTGTCTGTCTGTCTGTCGTCTGTCTGTCTGTCTGTCTGTATGTCTGTCTGTCTGTCCGCCTGCCTGTCTGTCTGTCTGTCTGTCTGCCTGCCTGTCTGTCTGTCTGTCTGTCTGCCTGCCTGCCTGCCTGTCTGTCTGCCTGCCTGTCTGTCTGTCTGTCTGTCTGTCTGTCTGTCTGTCTGTCTGTCTGCCTGCCTGCCTGCCTGCCTGCCATCCGATAAATTAAGTGTCACGACCTGATAACCAAGCCGGAACTATTTTTTATCTTCATACAGCAATTCAATGTCTGCTTCTCAGTTAGATATCGACCAGTACAGTTAGATCTGTGTTTTCGATTTGTGGGTGATTATGTTGACAAACATGGCTGCAAATGAGTTGGCAACACATGGTAAATTGGACATTTCACTCAAACACTATATTCATACGCGATTTCTAAAGGGGTTTTTTTTAACGAAAATAAACATTTTAAGAATGACAGTATATGAAGTGAGTGAGTGAGTTTGGTTTTACGCCGCTTTTAGCAATATTCCAGCAATATCACGGCGGGGGACACCAGAAATGGGCTTCACTCATTGTACCCATGTCGGGAATCGAACCCGGGTCTTCGGCGTGACGAGCGAACGCTTTAACCACGAGGCTACACACATGACGCTGACACGTCGTGAGAAAACTGGAATACTGTTAACACCTGTATTGACCGCACCTCACTCACTAACTACAAAAGAGGTGGCAGATGTTTGTCCACAACATAATGTGCTATGTTTTGTCATACACGGGACTGAATATTTTACCAATACGGATTATGCTAATCGAAAAGATATATTTCCATGAGGATGTATTGCAAAAGTCGATATGAATACTATCTCGGGACTGTTGCCTATTTCGTCAGCAATGAATCACCAACAAGTGAAAGAGTTCCTTGTAGGAATTTCCTTATATTTAATTAGGAGGTGAGGCGATTATTGCACTTATATAGCGACGTGTATGTACGTGTGTGTGTTTGTGTTATGCTTGTACTAGTCCGGACTGATGCCGATGTATAGTGCTAACTCACTGAGATACCATGCCGCAGTTTAACATGAATACCCCACTCAGACACAGTATACTGACTCCGAGCCGACCAGTCCTTGTTTTAGCCCCCTAATGCCGAGCGCCAGACAGGGTAACAACATGCACCATCTTTAAACGTCTTTTGGTATGACGCGCCCGGGGATCGAACCCCGGACCTTGCGCTCTCCGGGAGGACGCTCTACCTCTAGACCACGGAGGCGGTCTATTTGATTAGGGGCTAATTGCAACGTCTCAAGTATAATTACAGAGAAATCTTTTCACTACACCTGAAACTAAATATACAGATACGAAAGGAAACCATGCATTGTAATGTTTTGTTTTACTTCTTTATTCATGTGAAAGTTAACAGAAGTTAGGAAAGTGTAAAAACCTACAACGCTGAATTGAAAAAGGGTCAATATTAACCAGAACGTTAACATACGAGAACAGTGCTTGACAAATATTGGCGACTAGCCAGTTGTTTTCATGTAGTCGTAATATCCTCAGCAGTTTCATTGTATTCTCAACTATCATGACCCGTGCGCCGAACATAAAAGTGGACAAGATTTATCATTATCAGCGACAATAATATGTTATGGTGATTCCTTATTTAGTTTTCTTTTCCCAAAGTTAAATACATGACGCGTCAAAAGTGTACATGATAGCTTAATCAATAAATGTGTTTGAAACAGCACATTTGTGGAAGCTTCATGTTTGAACATAATGATACGGATGGTGGAATGCTCTCCTTAAACTTATTCCTGTCAAAAATTACACTCGTTTGATTTTCAAAGCACATTACACATCAGCATTTACAAAATATAAGAAGAATAAACAAATCTGGGTATTATAAGTTTTTGTACGTTTGTCAAAGATATTGCTTGAAAGTTTACCAACTTTTCATAAAAGTGACAATTCATGTATACGTGTTTTACTTATTGCCAATGCAAACAGTTTACAACGTCTTGAAGAGTGAAATACTGAATTTAACGTTAGTTTTGTCACTAGATATGTTTATGATTAACGCCAACTTGTTAGGAGACAATTACAATGTAAAAAGTTACACATAACGTACTTGTTGACGTCTTACAAATAACTATGAACATAAACAATTTCTGTTTTACGACTGGTCATGTACTCTAGGGACGTACATGTACGATATGTCCTTGACATTGATAATATAAGAAATGCAAATTGCATTTAAGTAAAATCTTTGAAACGCATATGCATTGTGTTAATTAACAAATATAGGCATGTGACAAATATTACATTCGGGTAAGCACAACATGGACAACCATAAGCATAACAGAAACAAGTGCTATAATCATCTGGTGACCTCAAATGATCCGCAGAGCTGTATCAATGACCAGTAATTGCAAACAGCTTTATATAAATTGAAATAATGATGATTCAAAATTACAATGAATTCTAACATCACATAGGATTTTATTCGATTCTGACTGCTCAATCAGAGGGTTCAAATCACTACAACCTCATCTGTTTGAAACAACAGATTTAGCATCCGCATAAATGAAAAAAACTAAAGTTTGTAGAAAATTCGCTTCTTAATAATAATTGTCGAAAGGCATTTTGAACAAATGATGTACAAGTATTGTTTACAAAGTTCATAAACACACTACTCAAAGTATATGTGGCTGTATCAGTTCTGTTCCAAATTGAACATGACGCCGTCAGATCTACAAATAATGGGGTTGCTACAAATGTTTCACATTGTGAGTACTCGGATCAAGGCCTATTCCTTTGTACAAACAAACCCACACAATTTCGATGTCAAATTACGATCAATGTACCCAATGTCCCCGTTGTATATGTATAATGTACTTTATTTGTAAGTAATGAGAACACTAATCACTGGATCGAGTGATCAGTCTCGGTGACGTAGTTAATAACGTAAAAGCCGCACCCAATGGAACTTATGATATCAACTAATGGTTTGTCTGGTCCAGAATGGAGAATTGGTTACTGCGGCGTTTAACATTATTCACTCAATCAAATTTTAGTTCTTCATACTGTGAATTAACATGTGAAGTCTTCCGAGTAGTATGGGTTTCCATCGTGCAATATTCTTGATTCATCGACGCATCCCTGTACAAAGTTGCATCTCGTGACGCTGGTACAGCAGGGGCCTTCATGGCTGGTGTAGAAGATCCATAGTGTACGTTTTCTGCTACAGTGACGTTCACCGACATAGCAGGCACTGCTGACCTCGCTGGAGGCAAGGTTCCTGTCGGACCACCATGATTCCTGGGTCTTGCTGTGGATTGTCTGAGCGAAAATATACACACAAACAATATAGCATTACACAACATTTAGTTTCTCAGTTTATTAATTATTAAATAGTTATGTTTATACAGTCAACGTCATTTTACATTTTGATCTGAAGCGCAGCTATTTCGTGACACATGAGGGTCAACTGTGCACTTTGTTACAAAAGCATAACATTTGGCACAGTTTAAAATGTTTACATTCCAAATATTTTCAGATGTGCGGCCACACAAAAAAGTTCAATATGGCCGCCATGGAGGAATAAAATTCTGGTATAACATGCTGGAATGTATTTACCCAACACTACATCTGTAAAGTAAATAGTTTTATCATAATCATACTATTTATCTCTATTTATGAAATCTAAAGAGCGAAAACATGAAAGAAATATGCATTTCTTTCTTCTTCAGCATATCTTGTTTCATTGAGGTCAATTAACTATACCAATATGTTATACTCATATGGTGAATACAATGACAACAACATAATTTTAAAGAACAAATTTGCATTCATTGAAATGTGCAGTAAATGGCTACTGGTTTGCTTGGCTGGGGACAATTAAATGTGAGCATCAAATGTGCCAGTCACACTTTGCTCTGCACCCACCCACCCTCCTCCCCCGACCCCACAACACACACACATCCCTCAGAGGACGCTTCTTGAGGACAAAATATGGAAATTTCGGGTGACCCCATATCTGAAAATATTGGGAATGTCATCACCTACAACTGTGCCAAGTTTCATGCTTTAACCACAAAGTGCGCATTAGTTTACGAAACGGCTGCACAAAAGATCAAGATCTATAAATTAAGCATTGAATAACTGCTCATGTTCTCGAGTGAGTGAGTGAGTGAGTATGGTTTAACGCCGCTTTTAGCAATATTCCAACTATATCACGGGGGGGGGGGGGGGGGGGGCACCAGAAATGGGCTTCACACATTGTACCCATGTCCGGAATCGAACCCGGGTTTTTGGCGAACGCTTTAACCACTAGGCTACCCGACCGCCCCTCATGTTCTCGAAGCAAGGGAGTTGACTTATTATAGTTTCTTGTCCAGTTTCCACCCTTGCCGAACTAGGTTGGAATTTCGTTCTCGATTGTAGCGCCGCTAGGAGATATTGCGAGTTTTGTCCCTTCTATATCCCTTCTATTGATCAGTCAAATTCCACCTCTCATAACTTGAAAAAATGGCGGTTCCCAGTCAAGACGATCTGATCCACCATCACGATCTGTATTGTAATAAAACGGGTCGTACCTCGCGAGGGGTGCACCGGATCACGTAATTACATTGTACTTTCATTAGAAACATTAAACGACTTGGGAAATATCTGTCAACGCCCAGTTGACGGTACACATGTTTTACTGTTCAAAACGCGATTTTGTTTGGACCATGCATAGACTCGTTTGGCCAGCCAAAATACAACTCAGAAATTCCAGCCTTGTTTGGAAAGTTTGGAAAATGGGCTCCGTCGTCAAGATGATAACTACTATGAAGATATGTGTAGTATAATGAATACATTTATTGCTGCAGAAAGCAATTACTTCTACTACATAGATATTATAATATGTACTATTTAGTAATACTATTACGCTGAAACGTGTCTTACCTACTATTAGGTTGTTTAGTAATACTCCTACATGAAAAAATATGAAGGAAAACACGATTCTCAGTTTATTTGAGAAGCATTAGTGTTCTTGTTATGATAGAACCATGCTACGTCAATGGTAAAATCATTCTATGGAAAGATGTTTAAATGGTAAGCTAATTAATAATTTCTATATAGTTTCTAAAATGAAATATATCATATCAGAAACCTTGCTTTCAAGAATAAGATGATCAGACGAAGTGATTATATGAACACACTTCCTATTTTGGAGAATATATAATGAATCCGCTTGTGTCAATATTCTACTATTATCAACTTAAAAACTGATAACACTCTCTTCAATTTTCCCCATAATGTTTCACATACCTTCTCCCACAGATCCCACAGATTATAATCACAGCAATAACAAAACTCGGCACAAAGACCGCACTTGCAGCAATAATGGGCCATTCCTCTGAAAATAGAGACGGTGATTGTTTTTTTCATCGATTATTTTTGTTTTTCTGCAATGCAAGATTCAATGGTTGTTATTCAGACAACGAGAAGGTTACTATGTTTGTGAACCAGTTATTCAATCAATGCAATATGTCATTATTCGAAATTATTCACAAGATACTCACCAATACAAGTTCCTGGAATGCATTTTGTACAGGGTGCTGTGCAGTCTGAAATGGATATTATCGAAACGATATTGATTCCAGTCATATTCAAGACACTGGGAGACAAACGTCATCATGCATATGTTGAGACAAGGGTATGATTTTTAGATGTGTCTCTTTTGCAAACTGGAATTAATACAAAGATTTATTTGACTACGAAGCATTTAATTTGAAAATAGTCATTGAAATAATCCACAATATTACACTTGTTAGTACAGTTCCAAATATTCAGTTAAATAATTGTTTTCTTTTCTAACTGTGTGAGGTGGCTTTTGACTTATCTTGATTTAACCTAGAGGAAAACCACTACATATTAACCTTAAAGAGGTAATAGGCCGGGAAAGTAAAACATCAAGATTATGTTGATTTAAGAATGTACTTACTCGTACTTGCTTCGCCAAGGGTGACAAACTGCAAGAAAGTAACACAGCACAGCCACTTGAGCATTGCGACAACAGGTTTTACATATCAAAACTTTGCGATTAATTCCTCTGAAAATTCGGCACAGTAAATAAGAGAAGACCGCGTAAGAAAATATTGCGCCTAATGAGAAACTGTCATTGGTCGGTTCCGGTACAAGTTCACTTATTCAGGGCACAACGAAGCCTGAAAAAACTACCTAGTTCAACTAGATCACTGGGTGTCACCAGGTTCCAGGAAGGCTACTGTACCACCAACCTACTCAAAGTCGCTGTGTTGAATCAACAACACAACAGAGACATACGATTGATAAAAAGTCAATCACAAAGTATAATTTCAATCGTAACATTCTGCTGAACTGAACATGCCATTATTATCTATGTCATTACCACATAACATTATGAAGTTACAACATTGTGTAACAAAGGTCGTTGAGAGATTAACATTTTAATCACAAAGTCGTCTAAATGGATCCGGGGCGGTCGGGTAGCCTAGTGGTTAAAGCGTTCGCTCGTAACGCCGAAGACCCGGGTTCGATTCCCGACATGGGTACAATGTGTGAAGCCCATTTCTGGTGTCCCCCGCCGTGATATTTCTGGAATATTGCTGAAAGCGGCGTAAAAACATATTCACTCACTCTACATTGATCATCACAAACAACATCCTTGCTAGGGACGATTCGTGATTATTATTTGTAGTTTTTACAAACGTCGTTGATGACATGAAGGCATGCGACTTTTATGGGAACCAACTTCAATATTGTTTGTAATATTGATGTTTCATGACTACGTCTTGACCCTTCATCGGAATAAGAATTCATGTCTAAGAGTATGGTGAGGTGAGGTGAAATTCGGTTTAACGTCGCGTCCAAGATTATTGCACTTATATAGCGACGTGCATGCACGTGTGTGGCTGCTTGTACTAGTCTGGACTGATGCCGATTTATAGTGCTAGCTCACTGAGATACCATGCCGCAGTTTAACATGAATACCCCACTCAGACACAGTATACTGACTCCGAGCCGACCAGTCCTTGTTTTAGCCCCTCAATGCTGAGCGCCAGACAGGGTAACAACAAGTACCATCTTTTAAAGTCTTTTGGTATGACGCAGCCGGGGATCGAACCCCGGACCTTCCACTCTCCGGGCGGACGCTCTACCACAAGACCACGGAGGCGGTCCTAAGAGTAAGGCCCAAATAGGTAAAGAAAAGCTTCCTAGTTTGTTGTTTTAGCTTCTCTTTTTCTGACAAGGTCAAGATATAGCTAGTTAAGTTCGGTCGTCAAAGGGACTTAAACGTCCATGTCAGTGAAATGCGTTTCGATTTGGGCCACCTCCTTGTGTAATATGAAAGGAACCGAATATGACGTCGACAGTTTTGATGGAAATGAGATGCCAATAGAATATTTTATACTTTTCGCCGAATGGGCATAAGTTATCAAGGTGAAACTGTTCCCATGACGATACATCCTGGTCATATGTCCATACTGTTAATAATTACTATAATCTGGTTTATGTTACAATGCACAGCGGTTATATGAAATTAAGTAGCGTGCTGTTATAGATTGGTTTGGGTTTGTTCTAGCTCTATAACAGCGGGCTGTAGATAATCAAGTACAATGACAGTCACAGATACTGACAGCCAGTATGTGTTGCTGGGGACCAACCTATATGCTTACCCGTTATCCCCACGGGTGAAAACTATTACGAAATAAGGACGTAAAGATATGTATTCAAGGGTCCTGATTCAAAGAAAATTGTGTAATCTCGCAAAAATGAACCATCGGGTGATAAGACTTTTTAGTGTGGTTAATTTAGACCATGTGGTGTCTGTAAAAAGTAGATGTATTTGAGTACAGAATGACGAACGGTATATATGTTGTTGTATCAGATTTAATTCAAAACTACATGCACAAAATTTTATGCTGTAATTCAATTTAATTCCCCCAGATATATAACACTTATTCGTAAGTTAAGAATTACGTTATTTCTATGGATCTTTGTACAAATGAATGTTGAGTTTCGGATGCATCACACAACTACATGTATATATATCACGGCGGTTCACGTTCCCTGAATGATTGTGCACACGTACAAGTGATTCTCGGAAAGATTCCTGAAAGTTTTCCTTGTCATCAGCTTCCTCAGTGCATAAAGCTGACCATTAAATACATATTGCATATGGCTAATGTTGGTACAACCTTATTATTGTATATTCCCTATTATAGCATAGTTAATAACCATATATAATGACATGGGTGGGATATGTCGAATTAAATACTTCCTTTTAACATTTAATGGACATTGATACAAATTGATTATCACATATAACATTGTTGCCAATTGTTCTGACCAAATTATTTCTGGCCTTTGAAAATGAAAATCAGTGAGAGTAAAAGGAAGTAAATGTACTTGTACAATGCGTTATCAATATGTTTATGTCGACTGCTTTTAGTATCGTCTATTTCGTATCGCCCAACATGTCATTGTGGTGAACAAGGCAGAGACTTTGTGGCTGACTTTCGGTTGTGACGAGTGCAAGCTCATATTTTTGCAAATATCTGGTAGCATCCTATTCGATTATGATTATAAACACATGATCATGCTATGGTCGGAATCGTACAAACGATTTCTTAAAACAATTGATTGAATTTTGTCGCTTTTATAGTAAACAGTAAGAGCACTATCAACGTTTCTATAATATCATTCATCTTATCACATTAACAGAACTCATTTAGAATTTGTTTCTAGAGAATTAAATGATAACGGACCCTGGTGGCATGGAAATGATTATAGCTAGGCTACCTGTTTCGAATGACTTATCACATTTTGAAGTTTACACGACGGACACATGTGAATAAAAATGCAAATATCAATGTATATAATCACGGAATGGATAATATATTTATTTTAATGTAAAAGTAACCTGGATTACACACGTCCATTTTCACGTTCAAAAGCCTCGGTTCCAAATAAAATATGAAATGGTCAATATCGTTCAACTCGTAATTTAAGAGTTAACAGCTCATTATGTAATATTTGCAATTCCGAAGAAATGATCAAACCATATTGAAATTGATTCAAATGTATTAAATTTTAATGAACAGACTTAACATAATTTCACAAAGAAACAACAGAATAGTTTTAATAAAATAAGAATGTCCTGTGCGGTGCCTCTAATGCGTTTTAACGATGCTGAAGGTTAAGTCAACTGTCACTGCCAACCAGTCATTAATGGTGTTTTAAAGATTGATATTGTCTAATTGATTGTTATTTCACTATATCGCTGTGCAGCACGTGTAAGTCATTAGTCATGTTTTCCTTGAACTTTACTACAACATATGATTACTATTATAAACATATTGCGAGAGGCTTATACGAATAAGGCAAATGCCCCTTTTCTCAGAAAGGTCTAGGCGAAAGCCTTCCCTCCGGAAATTCCTGTGCACTGTAATAATCATAGTCTGATAATGTTCACTAATGCCAATGGACTGCAACTACATGTGTGTAACAACGGAGATTGTCTGAACCTTTCATTATTCATCTTATTCAAAACGCGTGTCATACTGGTTTTACGAAACTCGCAAGGACAAAACCCAAACTCAGACACTTGCTCAGTAAAATCAGAATGACATACAAGTGAACGGCTATAAACAGTAGTGCTATAACTGAAATATTTTTCAAAGTAGCCTTCAAAGTAATATAGTGAAATACCTGATACTAACTACTCATGTATGTATTAAAGTACAAAGACCGGTTCTCAATAGCCTAGTTAAACATTCTTCGGTAGCCTGTTCATTCTACCCGAGTGTTTGTCAAAATTACTATTCTCCTAAATCATCTTCAAAAGCATTTTTGAACATATTGGACATGTGTCAGACCCCTTCCAAATACTATCAAGCAACATGAAATAAACAAATATATGACAGCAAAATATCCCTTATTTATGCTATTCTATCTTAATGTCATCAAATTAACGTGCCTCAGCCCCGAACATCGGACCAGCGCCTACTCGTACCTTATATAATTTTCATGGAAATGTCGTTCCCAACATCTTACATGATGTGATAGTGGCCTTAACTTTTCCTCATTTTCAAATTCATGAGAAGAAATTTATCAAATGAAAAAAGATTCTTTGTTCCATTTACCACAGAGAGGAGGTATGATAACGTTTATTTACCTTACATACTCATGTATTCAGGTCCTGGGGTCTATTCGTTCTTGTTTTGTTTATACAAGTTCTCCAGGTACACCCACCATTATATTTTGAAACAATACCGACCATTAATATTTATAAATGATAATACCTGATGGCGAAGAACACAGAATACACGTCAAACACAGAAATGCATATATATTTAACACAAATGCGATTATCTTAGGTGTTAAGGCAATGTAGACCTTGTGTTTATAGCTGCAAGCATATATGCAACCCTAGATGTACCACCATAAGACAAATGGAAGCGGCAAAAGCCTTTCCTTAACGATATCATCTACTACTATTGCATCCGGTACTGACTGTAAGGGGGGCACGGGTGGCCCACTCTAAGGCGCCGCGATTTGCTGTGAAGAGTTGCGTCCCTTGGGCACGCCAGAAACTTATGATTGTGGGTTCGAATCCCGGTTCGCCCCGATTATGTTTCTAGGTTTGTCAGCACCATACCCGTGCTGGTGGGTTTCACCGAAGTGGTAAACGTCTGAGACCTGCATCACTTCGGGCTTTCCTCCCACATTAAGCTGACACGCAGCGATATAACTGGAATACTGTTAACAGCGGCGTTAAACCCAACTCACTCACTCACTCACTCACTCACTGTAAGGCGACAGTGTGTTTATGGAATTCCCCTTAATCAGTCATATATACTAGCAGTTGAAAGAAACACACTGTCCCTTAAGCACTGAATATCAGACATGAGGTGACTCAATTTTAGATAATGTAGATTTTAGATTCTCTTTTTAAAAAAAAAATGAATTTGATTATGCGATAACCTGATGAAAAACGTGTGGCACCAGCGGGATTCGAACCAGTTCATAAAGAATGTAATTTTCTGCCTATTGTCTGGAGACATTCTATGGAGTTACGAAGTAGACAAACGTTGATGGACAACAACAGTATAATGAAGAGGTTGTAAAGAGGTCCATAAACTTTATTATCCGTCAAATATGACACGCCTATCAAACAATATATGGAATTAAAAACAAAATGTTTCACATAACATCACGACAAAGAGTGAATCCGTTCATGACGTTCGTGAGGGGGCACGGGTGGCCCAGTCGTCTAAGGCGCCGCGATTCGCTGTGCAGAGTTGCGTCCCTTGGGCACACCAGAAACCTAGGATTGTGGGTTCGAATCCCGGTTCGCCCCGATTATGTTTCTTTTTTTTTGTTAGCACTAAACGCGTGCTCCTGGGTTTCACCGAAGTGGTAAACATCACATCTGAGACCTGCATCACTTTCCTCCCACATTAAGCTGGCTCGCCGTGATATAACCGGAATACTGTTAAAATCGGCGTTAACCCCAACTCACTCACTCACCCACGGTGACCGTGCATGAGATTGAGTAATCTTTCGTTTACAAAATGAACATGTACTGTCAGCTATAAAGTTTTTTTTATCAGGCTTTGTTTGCTACTACTAGGGTTATAAACATTGACGGGTAATATGAAGATGATTCATACAAATGTCAGGCTTAGTGTGTTCTCATGCATGGCATTGTAAACAACTTGCCAGATATACTCGACAAACAAAATGCGTGTTCAAATACATTAACTCTCTTTTTAAGTAAATATCAAGCACAACATAATCATCGTTGTTCATTGTTCATTGTGTGCACGTTCAAGATGTATGTACCCATTATCGACTGTACTATTCATTATAAGTGTCATGCTGTCTCGTTCGTTAATGCACTTTATGCGTACGACATGCAATGATCGAATGCATAGAAATCGCCTCACAAAGAGAAAATGGCACTTCCTTTACTTGGCGTCAAAATATAAGCGTACACACATTCTCTTCTGAAGGTTTAATATTTGTCTATCTGATGAATAAAATATATGCCTGGAGAGAATAAACAGTCAATATGTACTTTGGTATTTCCGCGAAAGAAACTTTAACAAACAAACCTCATTCACCGGAGATAATTACAAAATCCCTTTTTCTTCTAAACATATTGCTGTGAGCGTTTAGATAAGTGTGCTGTTTGTACTCAGCTTCGATTGATTATTTGGTTCCTATTGACACTTTACCAAACATACCAATAATATCAGAGTCCTAAATGAGACAATACTGTGTCTTCAGACAGGAGTTGACCATGTTCCATCCTCTCGCCCTCGTGTTATTTCTTCATATTCTTAGGTAAGACTTTCTTCATGTTCGTTTAGTGCAACACTATGGTTGTGCGTGTTTCGGAAACAATACCACGATGTAAATACGTCCTTCATAATGAGGTGGTCGCGGAGAGTAGGTGGACCTCTTTGGTAGATTGACTCCTGAGCATATCTTTGGCTTTGAGCCTGTCCCACGCTGAGTAGAAAACTCAGGAGAACAACCAGTCTGGATTATCTCCCGAAACAGGGCCCCGTTCCTCAAAGCGATCTTAGCGCTACGATGATCGTAAACCTATGTTAGAGTATGGGACTTACGATCACCTTAGTGCTAAGATCGCTTTGTGGAACGGGGCCCAGATTCCACTGGGAGCAAAAGGTAAAACAGCAGCAAAAACTACACGCATTGACCACTGCAAACCAGCGACGACACCAGGCGCCCACGAAAGGGAAACCACAGCTTACATGTTGTGTTAGCCTTCTTGGACAAGACACTTTGTTCGAAAAATGCCTTTGTTACTAAATGTGACCAGGCCCCTTGTCAACCCGAAGCTATATACTACACGTATACTAGAATATGACCTTCACATGGTCATTTGTGTTTCCACAACTACTGGAACTTTTAACTGTTTTAATCAAAATTGTATGAGTGGTGGGTGCTACCGTTAGAGCAGAATATACTGCGTTTCAGTGATACATTCATTTTCCTTTATCACTCTATTGTCTTTTATGCCATATTCGGCAGATCACTGCAGAGACTGTCATTTTTGGAGCGGTGAGGTAGCCTAGTGGTTAAAGCGTTCCCTCTTTACGACAAAGACCCGGGTTGGATTCCTAACATGGATACAATGGGTGCAGCCCATTTCTGGTGTCCCCCGCTGTGATATAACTGAATTATTGCTAAAAGCAGCGTAAAACCATACTCACTCACTCACTTATTTGGACCCGTGAAGATCCGGGGTAGAATAGGTCTTCAGCAACCCATGCTTGCCGTAAAATGCAACTATGCTTGTCGTAAGAGGCGACTAAGGGGATCGGGTGATCAGGCTCGCTGACTTGGCTGATGCATGTCATCGATCCCAATTGCGTGGATCGATGCTCATGATATCAATAACTGGATTGTCTGGTCCAGACTCGATTATTTACAGAAAGCCATCATATAGCTGGAATACTGCTTAGTGCGGCGTAAAACAACAAACCAACCAACCACGCACTTATTTGAATTTGTGTGAACCTGAACGTTATTTATTGTTGTGACGAATACGAAACTTCACATTTTATATGTGTTCCAAAGACATTACAGATGAACCTTGGTGGCTAATGCCAGTACAAAACAGCATATGCATGATGAACATATGGCATGTTACAAAATAAACGTATAGGATGCGCCTGTCTGAATTCAGATAAATCATTAAACATCGACATGTGGTAAGGTTGTATGTTTGCTGGGAATACGTTAATGAGTTTTAGGTTACTACGGTGTACTGTTAAGTAAACGAGATGATAGTATTCATTTACAGCGTGGACAAGGAAGAGTCACCATCGGAACACTTTCGCCTTGATAACTAACATCCAATAGGCGACGAGTAATTGTAGTTGAGAGAATAAATCACTTAAATCCATATAATCTGGATGCGATAGTAATGCACGTTTTGAATTTAGATAGGTGAGCATCTGGCAAATGATCTGGCTGTTTGTTGTATCCGGTTGCATACAATGGCTGTCATAGATCAACATAGATCCCATTATTTTCTTCATCACTTGGTAACACCCTTTTGATAAATTGCACAACATTATTCCTCTTTCCAACAATCGCAAAAAAATAACCAAATTCCTCGCTTAGTATATAAAAGGACTTACATGGAACTTTAGATCTGTAAATATACTCGAAAGATCAGACCCATAATGTATTGCGATCGACCCTGGGTCAAAGAAGCAAGCGAAGTTCTTCTAGACAAACCATTATGGTAAACTTTAGATGAAGTCCAAATCAAGCCTTGTGCAGACACGTTAACATGATATGTGAGTGAACACGTGAGACACTCTTGTTGGAAGTGAAACCCGTGGAAACGGATCTCTTTTCAAAAGTAGTGTTTGTAAACAGAATATGACATCGTAATTATTACCGTATTGGCTACGTAGAAAGATACAACACTCTGTTGAACTCGTGAATTATTCGTACCCCAATACCTACTGGAGGATTTCGCTTGATAGTAAAATAATTTATTTATTTTCGTCTAAGAATAATTTAATAAGCAATGTTCGGTTTAAGGATTTAACCATTGTTAGCGTTAATGTGTACATTGTATTGATGTCGTTCGAGATAGTGCTATGGAATGAATTTTAACTTGAGTTCGAGATAAGCGGCCATGTTACGACGTAAATTGTAATGAAAAGGTAAATTGTAATAATTTTGAAGTAAATTGTAATAACAACGTAAATTGTAATACAATTTGACGTAAATTGTAATACGCAAATTGTAATAAAAATTGACGTAAATTGTAATAATCTCAACTTGCGGTAAAATGTAATAACTTTTTACGTAAATTGTAATAACCTTATGAGTTTAGTGTCAAAGGCGTTAAATGACTAGAACCTATCCTTGTTAGGATGGGACCAGGGTTTATCGTACAATCGTCATTAAAGTATGGGTGTGGGGGAGGATTGAGGTCGTTATCGTACATTGTTGTATAATTATTTGTATATATAAACGCATTGTAATTTCATTTCTATGGTTGTCCAGAAGAGGATTAATTACTAGAATGAACTTAGTTTTCTTATTTATTTGAGAAATACTCTGTGTGTTTTGTACTTAAATGTAATATATCCCATTGACGATTTTCATCATAATTGTTCATATTTAATCTAATGGAATCATATTTCAATTGGTAAAGTAGGTAGTAATATACACAATGGAATAATTATACCGTAACAAACTTACACAAATATATTGATGTGTAAATGTGGAAAGTCTGACATTTACTGACTGAAGCAAATTTATTTATTTTGCAACTGTATATTTGTACATATTTTATGCGGAGAGGGGTTTACTAAGTTGCAAGAACTTGTCCCCAATACAATTCTCATTTTGTTCTGTGAATAAAATATGTTTAAACTAAACTAAACCAGCAAATGGATGACATGTCATTCTGCAGTAGTCTGTGTGCAAGCTGATTTATACATGTTCATATACATAATATCAATTTATTTAAACTTGAATAAAGTTTCAATTTTTTAACGTTCCTCAGAGGATGTAAAGCAAATAATGACAATGTCCTGGGCGATGTACATGTAGGTATGTGAACCCGCAAGGACTACCTTTATAAATTATTTTACGTGCAGCTTGTGTCATGTCTGTATTGTTAGAATGATACTCTAACAACTGTACACATCGAAATTTATGACTGAAAGATCCATCCTCGGGTTAAAAATGATTGATTACATTAGGTACGTCTATTCGACAAATAGGTTAATTGATTTAACATCCAATAGTAGCTTAGCTAGGAATCCATTGCAATAACACTGAGTTACGAGTTACCGAAGAGAGCTCTGTGCAACCGGACCCTGAAATTATGTCGATTTGCATTGGAGGTTTACTTAATTTGATAAGGAGCACATGACCGTTTCCTTGAAACAAACGAGACAATTCAATCGTATTTATACATTATATTTTGACGAAGAATTCAAATACAACAAATGAGTGACAGATCTCCTGTGCAATGTCAAAGGAAAAAAAACAGTCGTCAGCAAATGCAGCATAGATTTCCCATGCATGGGAAAGGAGAATACTTAATACATAACATTATATACAATGTTTTTATTAATATCGAAAGAGGGGCGTGGATATTCTTTACCTCCATTGCATATACTATTAGATATTGTGTATTCTCGATCTATGTGAACTTCTCACAGATAAAGAAATAATAATAAATAAATGCAAACCATGTTAACTTATGCAATATTTGTAGCAATGTATGATTAACATATGGATCATTAATATAACATAAAATATTTCCTTTCATAGGAAGAAGTATATTTAATGAAATAAATGAATAAATGTAACTGTCTGGATTCCTTTCATATGTCATGAAGATCTAACAACAACTTACTGACAACTTTTGCTGGGATAATAACTCCTTGCCCCAACAACAAAAACAGAATCCATCATGATAACGGCACGAAATCATAATTCAAAGCATACACAATAATATCCGGTATCTTCGGGCATGTCTTGTTGAGTTTCAAAGAGCATCAGAATGTATAATAAATTTGTTGCAATCAATTATTGCTGAAATGAAAGGATGGAAAATCTATAATGAAAAGGGTTTTGTCACTAACGTAAATATTCTCTTTGACCTTGTACGAAGAGTATTCTAAAATCATTAAACTCGGCAATCGTTGGTGGATTGCGCCAAGCAACCTTGATACCAAATTTGGTACCTCACGTATAATGCGGTTCATAATTTTCGAAACAGATAATTACGTTTTTCATAAGTTATCACTAATTTGTGACATATATACGGACAAAAATTACCTCAGAGGATAATCTTCTCTGGGGGTTTAAGAGGATTAAAATAATTCCAGCTAACATCAAGCACTGTAATAAAATATTGAAATTATAGCATACCTTCTTAACATTCCAATGAAAAGAATAGTGACTAACTAAGAAACCAAATTATATTTATCTCCGATACTATGCCCTCATCAGCACACACACACACACACACACACACACACACACACACACACACACACACACACACACACACACACACACACACACACACACACACACAAAACACACAAAACACACACACAAAAACACACACAAAAACACACAAAAACACACACACATACATACAAGTCCGTCGGCGAGTCCATAACGTTTTATGGTGAGCTCTTCTCTATAAGTGCTTAGTGTTCAACTCCCAGTTCCAAACACGTTGTACCTCATCAACAATCCACATTCCTCTGGTGCAGTGATCGTCCGGAAGATCTTACTCTTGACCGTATTAGACAACTGACGAGTTCACGCCTGACCTGTGACCTCGTTACACTGAAAAGAATAGTGACTAACTAAGAAACCAAATTATATTTATCTCCGATACTATGCCCTCATCAATATGCACACACACACACACACACACACACACACACACACACACACACACACACACACACACACACACACACACACACACACACACACACACACACACACACACACACACACACACACACAAACACACACACAAACACACAAACACACAAACAAACACACATATACACACCAACACACACACATACATACAAACACATACACATAGGTATGTATGTACGTGTGTGTGTGTGTTTATGCATGCATGTATGTATGTATGTATGTATGTATGTATGTATGTATGTATGCCAGTAAATACGACATCTATATGTCATTGGTATCAGATCTATGACTGCACTTCTACATATAGTTCCAAGTGAAAGATGAGTGACACTACTCTGTGAGAGGTCCCACACAAATGCTGATATGAGCAATTAAAGGTTATACAAAATGTAACAAATGAAGTAAGATATTTTTAAGATAAAATAGAAACACAAACCTGTAGATATACGAATTAGAATGTAGCAAATACATTAGATAAACGTATCTTCTACGTAGATAAAAGTATGTCCAACGAAGACATAAGTATATTCTTCGTAGATAATACGTTTTTCATTTTTTATCACTAATTTGAGACGGACAATAATCCCCTGAAAGCATAACCTCCTCTTGGGGTTTAAGAGGATTAAAGTAATTCCAACAAACAACAAGCACTGTAATGAAATTACGACAAACTTTGTTAAAATTATGATGAAAAGACTAGTAACTATATATCTAAGAAACCAAATCATATTGTTGCTGCGTTACTTGGGCCTCATCATTATAGACACACAAACACAAACATACACACACACACACATATACACACACACGCGCACACGCACGTACACACACATACATTCACACATACACACGCACGCGCGCGCACACACACACACACACACAGAGATACAGACACAAACACGTGTTGCACACACTACATACCCATACAAAAACACCCCCACACAAACACTATATGTGTGTATACATGTACGTATGTATGTATGTATGTATGTATGTATGTATGTATGTATGTATGTATGTATGTGTGTGTGTGCGCGCATGTAGGTGTGTATGTAATGACAGTAAATGTGAGCTCTATGTCATTGGTATAATAATCAGAAAGAAAAGCAGTTTGCACTGGTGAACAAATAAAAGCAAACATTCAACTGACTTGACATGTCCCCAACAAGTAACGGATTAAGTAAAGATGTATATATCAAAGTTTACTATTCAAGGTCCCTTTACATATCAATAGTTGTATAAGGATTACTGTTCACAAATATAATAACTGTGTGTGTCAAACATGCATGTTTTCTCACTGCATGACAAAAGTATCTCGAGCTATATTCGTACCGAACAATTATATATATAATTTTACGGTACGAATATAGCTCGATATATATAATTTTTCGGTACGAACATAGCATTTATCGTACAATCGTCATTAAATATGACTTAGTGTGGGGTGTGAAAACTTGAAACTTGATATATCGAACATTGTTGTATATATATATAAACTCACTGGAATGTTATTTCTGTAGGTTAAGTACGTGGTTATCAACACAATGTATTTATATATAAAAATATATGTTTGGGATGCTATTCTTGCATTTAAAGTGTGTTAGCAGTAGTTGAAAAGAGCGATTCAGCATGAAACCAAATTTGAAATGGGGTAAAACAGTTGTCACATAGTGTATGAAATACCCTCTGAAGACATATATTGCAGTCTCAAATTTAGAAGTTTTACCTCAATTTCAGAAAAAAAGTGATATGGGTAGGCAATTAGAACTAGGTAAAAAAAAATCGGAGCAAAATATAATTTGCCTTTTTGGTAAGTCACCAGTCATTTTATTGGAATTTTAAGAGGGTATGTTATTACAGTGCTTGATGTTAGCCCAAACTACTTTAATCCTCTTAATCTTTCAGAGGAGGTTATATTTTCAGGGGATTATTGTACGTATATATTTCGTATCAAGGTTTCTTGGCGCAATCCACCAACGATTGTCGAGTTTAATGATCTTCAAGTACGTTTCAAGGTCAAAGAGAAAATTTACTTTAGTGACAAACATATTTTCATTATAAATGTTCAATTCCTTTCTATTTGGATACAAGCAGATATATTTCAACAATTGATTGCAAGAAATTTATGATAAGTCGTATACTCTTTGAAACTGTACAAGAGTTATCCGAAGATCCCGGATGTTATTTGTGTATGCACGGGATCTGTCAACTCATTTGTTGTATTTGAATTCTTCGTCAAAATAAAATGAATTGTATAAATATGATTAAATTCCCTCGTTTGTTTCAAGAAAAGGATCATGTACTCCTTATCAACTTGTATAGCATTTCTACTGCAAATCGACACACTGGTTGACCGGCCTGTGTTTGTACCCTTCGTCATCACTCGTTCAGTCGTGTCGAACTGGTCAACGTACTGTTGAAGCAAGTCATGCAAAAAACATCTTGAATAGCCTTATAAGAGTATTGAACAATATGTCACAATTAAGTTATTTGTCGAATATACGGTTGTGTAACCCATCATTTTGAACCCGTGGATGGACCTTTCAGTCATTTAAATTTATCGATGTTGACACCACCCTTTAATGACGATTGTACGATAAAGCCTACAACAACCATCCCTAACTTAACAGTTTTGTACGTTTGTCATCATACACAGTATTCCTCGAATTGTACATGTGAAACGCAAGCTCAACTAACAAAGATCATTTCTAGTCAATTGGCGTCTTGGACACTACGGTAGTAAGGTTTTTACAATTTACGTAAGAATTTATTACATTTTACCGCAAGTAGAGATTATTACAATTTACGTCAATTTTTATTACAATTTGCGTATTACAATTTACGTCAAATATTATTACAATTTACGTTGTTATTACAATTTACGGCAAAATTATTACAATTTGCTGCAAGTATTACAATTTACCTTTTTATTACAATTTACGTCGTAACAGGCCATGTTACGACGTATATTGTAATAAAAAGGTAAATTTCTCAAATAAATAAGAAAACTAAGTTCATTCTAGTAATTAATCCTCTTCTGGACAACCATAGAAATGAAATTACAATGCGTTTATATATACATATAATTATACAACAATGTACGATAACGACCTCAATCCTCCCCCACACCCATACATTAATTACGATTGTACGATAAACCCTGTACCAACCCTGACAAGCTAAGGATAGGTTCTAGTCATTGAACGCCTTTGACACTAAACTTATTTGGTTATTACAATTTACGTAAAAAGTTATTACATTTTACCGCAAGTTGAGATAATTACAATTTACGTCAATTTTTATCACAATTTGCGTATTACAATTTACGTCAAATTTTATTACAATTTACGTTGTTATTACAATTTACGTCAAACTTATTACAATTTGCTGCAAATATTACAATTTACCTTTTTAATCACAATTAACGTCGTAACAGGTCAAATTTAAATGTATTTATATAGTGAGGAGGCCGGTGCCGGATTTTAAGTTCGAGATATCGGTTCATTCGCGATGACCGGGTTCAACTGTATCAGATTTTATAATTATCCAGCCCTTAAAACCACAGGTAAGAATGGGCTTGGCCTTGTTTTCTATACTAAACATACGCTGATCAGGTAATGAATTCATATCATACACTTCCAGCTAAGGATGTACAGACCGATCAGGGATTGATTAATTAAATCGTACATGTGATTCGTACTTCCAGTCCTTGTACGGCTATGAATGGCGAGATTCACCACACAAATATGGTCTCCGCCATACCTGTAGGTAGCAGTGTGAAGAACGAGATACTGACGACAGCAGTCGCTTCATGCCTCAAATGCACGACAGAATGTGCACGGCTACGCTCCTGCCGTGCGTTCTTCTACAACGCTGTGGACACCAGATGCCAGTTGTTTGATACCAGTCAAGTTTCTCGACCAAATAACATGGAATACACAAGGTTTTATGGTACTGTAAAGTATCTTTGTATGTACATTTTGAGCGTCTTAGTAGGAGAATTTTATAATCCATGAACTTTACCACTCATAATAAGTAAAGATCACCCGATTCTTTCATAGTACTATAGTCGTGGCATAAGAGATTAACTATAGTAATATGAAAGAATCGGGTGTTCTTTAACTTCTTTTGAGTAGCATAGATAGTCTTTCTTTATGTGTAGTAATTATGCATTGGGTTTAACCTTTGAAACTATTTATATACAACTTCTCCTATTTCGCATTTATTGGATATTCGTTGTTTCAAATCAAGTTGGTCTGCAAAACAAAAGAGACAAAACCATATTCATAAGAAATCTGTGCTAAAAGAAGAGTCGATTGTACGATTCCGACTGTATCAAGAGCACGTGTGTTCATAGCGTCAGGCCATGATGACATTTTGAATAATAAATTCGCTTATGATTTTCGAATAATTTCACGAAGGTTACTAGTTGCTATTTCTTTTCTTTTCGCTGAAGTATCAAATCTAATAGGAGAATATATTCAACAAAGATTAATAAAGATCTATGCTATGTGATAAGAAAGCGGTCGCGGTCAATGTATAGGAACATTTTAATAGGAAAAACTGTGTGTAACGATTTTGCGACATTGTATTTTTTTTAAGTTACTGTTATTGACTTCATCTATAACATGTCATTTTAAGACCGTTAAGCTATCACCTAAATCATCGATTTATCATTTATCTGTTTCTAAAAGCGCACTAACTTTACCTCGTAATTTGGCAGTTCGGGACTGGTGCCCTGAAGGTTTTAGCCTTTTGTCTGAAGTGGAAGGTCCATGTGTTAAGTTCCATTTGGACGTGGCCACGTGGTTTGAAGCAAGGAACAACTGCAGCCTTCATTCTCCGACAACTAGGCTGATTGTGACTGATAATGAGACTAAGTTCCAAAAAGTGAAGACAGCAGGAATAGCAATGAATAACAAGTTCAGTAAGTACACAACTGTAATTTACTACAGCGTCAAGAAGATGAATTAATCCGTCTGTATAGGGCAGGTTATAACATAAGCAATATTGCAATAATAATATTAAGATTGTGAGCGATGGGAGTGATTTCAAATTTGACTGAAGATATTCGCTGACAAATGGACAACGTATGTTTTTCCGTATTGTCGTGAAATGTGAGGAGTCCGGGTTAGAATAGGTCTCAAGCAACAGGTGCTTGTTGTAAGAGGCAGTAAGATGGATTGAATGGTCAGGAGTGGGGCATTGCTCATCGCTTCAATCTTGACTGTCTTGATCCAGCCTCGATGTTTTAGAGTTTAAAAATGGCAGTGTAAAAAAAAACACTGACATCAATAACTTATGCAAGTACTGAATAGGAAACTGTTACCATGTTACCCCTTGGGATCTTGGGATCAATGGAAACAACACTTCCTCGATATGATACGAGAAACAGTTAAAACCAGACGTAAACTATGAAAAATCCATGAAAATATGGTATGATAGTAACACCAAGATCGAGAGACTGCCAGTCAACAGTGTTATGAATAACGCTTCTCATACACAGAAACATTGTTGAACAAAATGTGATTGAACTGTTTCAGGAGACGCCATCTGGATTGGCCTATCAGACATCTCGTCCACCCTGCGTGTTTTCAAGTGGACCAATGCCAAGCCTATCGGGAACTTCACTTACTGGAGTAACTCCGACTTCAGCAAAGTTGGTCAGAATGCATGTGTGGTTCTCCTCCGTGCGGGATATTGGAAGTGGACTCCCACCGATTGTAACGGCAGGAAACACTTCATCTGTGAAGTCCCTAATGAGTGAGTGAGGGAGGTGGGCTGACGTCGCTTTTATAGTCAGCGTACCATGGGAGGAAGTGATGCAGGTTTCGACTTCTGACGCTTTGGTAAAGCCATAAGCACGGATATTCTTCTCACAAACCTAGAAACATTATCAGGACGAACCTGGATTCGAAACCACGATCATAAGTTTGTGGTACACCTAAGGGATACATCTTTGCACACATGCTTCAGACGACGGGGCCACACATACCCGCTGTCCGTAAAGAAACGACGTAACTTTTATCACTATGACGTGAACCCGCACCCTCTGAACTATCACCACCCGTTTCTGGTGATATTGTGCACGGGTATTTCACGCTATACATGACGAAGTTGTCAGTGCTTTTTTGAGTGATTGATTCGAAATAAGACAAACACAGAAGTGAAAACACATATGCCACACTTAATAAATATTTTACTTTAAAGAGGTCAGATGTGTGCTTATTTTATACGGAGGCGCGTCGTTCACTGGTCCCGGCAAATTATATGAATATTAGCACACAACCATAGGTTTCCAAATTAGTTCAAAGAATCGTATTTCAAAAGCACTAAATGTTATCAAAAGAGGAGACGCTATAACCATTTCAGCCATTTGATGGTTAAACCAGTCAAGTCGAAGTTTTGTTGTTTTAATTATCTTATTCAATCAAGAATGAACATGAATTATTTTTTCAGATTTTTCTTATTCCAAGTTTAAATTTACAAGTCCCACCACGTTCATGTTAATCCATGTATAATTAAATTGTTATTTGTTGTCTTCAGATACAACAATTAGTAATAACCAATTGGAAAAATATATAATAATTTTTCTCAAGAACAGAATAATCGGTATGTTTATATGTTTCACAGCAAACATTCATCTCATGTGCATACACTTAGAAGGATGAGGGTGCGATGGGGTTAATGCATTCACTCGTCCCGCCGAAGGCCCGAGATCGATTGTCCAGATGGGAAACTCCTCGCCGTGGTACTGGTGAAATAGTAATTGCTAAAAGGCAATTAAAAACATACTCACTCACTCTAAACCAGGTTAAGAATGTTTTCCATTTGTTAAGTATTCTAAATAATCTGAGACTGCAAAGAGATCTTAAGTGTATTTTATATATCAAATGACATTTTTATTATTATGCACAGATTAAAATAAACGAATATATGCAGCGAAGAGGGTTCGGGTGATCCTGGCACGGTCAGGCTGGTAAGGATCATCATCAGCTCAGGGTTCTTGTCCCCTCTACACGCAGTCCAGACAGCAAATGGGACTTCTCTCAGGAAACGCATTCTCAGGATTTATATGATATAAATTATTTCATTGATTTAGCAAAAAGGACTAGATTAGGTTTGTTGGCCTTGGCAAGTCTGGGGCTACATAAGAGACTATTCCAAAGCATTTTGTATTTATCATTTTCCATGCTCCCCTCTACATATTTTGGGTCGTATCAAGTATGGACCTCTGTATATAAACCACAAGCATGGCGAAGACGGTAATAAAATAATCGAGCCACGCCATCATGTCGCTTAAGATACTGTGTCTGTGCTAATGCTGGGCATCCACTGACAATGTGCTGGACAGTCTCATTACATAATCTTCATTTCATATTTACATTTTTATGCAAAATCACACATTAGTATTGTTGTTGTCATTCCTGTGTCCGTTCTGAAGTTGCTTATAATATCAATCACTCTTTTGTTTAGAACCTACTTATGATATCAATCATTCGTTTGTCTGGTTAGAAGTTGTTTGTAATATCAATCATTCTGTTCAGAAGAAGCTTAAGATATCAATCATTCGTGTGTCTGTTCTGTAGTTTCTTGTAATATCAACCATTCTGTTCAGAAGATGCTGATATTTATATATATATATATATATATATATATATATATATATATATATATATATATTTAATACGTGTGTTCAGAGGCTGCTTGTAATATCAATCATTCTGTTCAGAAGATTCTGATATCACTGATATCAATCATTCGTGTGTCTGTTTAGAAGTTGCTTGTAATACCAATCATTCGTATGTCTGTTTAGAAGATGCTTATAATATCAATCATTCGTTTGGTTGTTCAGATGTTGCTTATATCAATCATTCGTGTGTCTGTTCAGAAGTTGTTTGTAATATCAATCATTCTGTTCAGAAGATGCTGATGATATCAATCACTCGTGTGTCTGTTCAGGGGTTGCTTGTAATATCAATCATTCTGTTCAGAAGATGCTAATGATATCAATCATTCGTGTGTCTGTTTAGAAGTTGCTTGTAATACCAATCATTCGTCTGGTTGTTCAGACGTTGCTTATATCAATCATTCGTGTGTCTGTTCAGAAGTTGCTTGTAATATCAATCTGTTCAGAAGATGTTGATGATATCAATCATTCGTGTGTCTGTTTAGAGGTTGCTTAAAATTGCAAAATACATTTTGTTTGAGGTTTAACGAAAGGACGATAACCGTTTGACACAAAACCGTTATTGTCGTACAACAGTAAGCCACAGGCGCGTACAAATGTACCGACATCCAGTGAGGCGCACGTATAATAACAGATTATGAACGAACGAACACATGAATGTGGGTGTAATTTCACATGTATAACAGCGGCTGTTACAGCAGACGCCACGAAAAGATAAAACAGTGCTCCTGAGACCTGCATCACTCCGGGCATTCCTCCCACATTAAGCTGACACGCCGTATTATAAGTGGAATACTGTTCATAGAGGCGTTAAACCAAATTCACTCACAATATATAACAAAGTCACTCGTGTGCGCCTACTAATCCATATAAAACAACCCCATTCACACACATGCGTTGTAGTTTATTTTCATCATTTGTTATGTCAGAAACACCTAACTGTGTTTGTAAAATAAATGTCTTCACTGCCTTGTATATATAGGAAAATAATAATTTTGAGAAACAAAACCAGGCGACCATGAGTAAATAAGAAAGACCGAACTTTTATTTTGAACAACTGTTAAACTCCGAATCAATCAACATCACAATGTTTCAAAAACAGTAAATAACATATTCAGTCTTAGTTTACAACGTTACTTACAGTAAATATTGAACAATGGAGATGGTTCTATGTATATACGACTTCCTAAATACAATGACTACAGACGTTTCGGTGTAGATACTAACGCTGTTATCATGCATGTGATGTACGGAAATGTGAAGTTGGAAGGTTATATGTATGTGGGTAGTTGGTGGTTATATAGAAAAGGTTAAAGTATAAAGCCTGATTGATGTACATAAATAGGATTGCCAAGGCATGATGGGTAAAACAATACAGTTATTGTTATGAGTTGATTGGAAGCCAGTATATATATATATATATATATATATATATATATATATATATATATATATCTATATATATATATATATATATATATATATATATTACTTGCCCGTGAAGAGATAACCCGTTTAATAAACATACAGCTATATTACACATTGTGAAATACCAAAACGCGTGCTTATGTACTCTCGGAACACGTTTCACGAACAAGTATTGTAAGCTCTCAACATCCCTTGGCTTATTCAACGGCATTGCGTGTGGGGATGATAGATCACTGAGAGGAGCTTATGCACACTCGATGACCCCAGCAACCTTGTTGCTAGGTTGACGTCACATGGCATTGTTTCGCCGAAGGATCTTGCAACAAAATTCCACAAATTACGTCATCGGGTATTGCGACGTGATCGTAAACTTTGAGGTGCAAGGCCCCGTTCCACAAGGCGATCGTACTCTAGCGCGACGACAGTCGTTTTTCTAAGTTAAAGTATGTGAGTTGCGATAACCTTAAGGCTACGATAATTTTGTGGAACGGACGACTGAATTCTAAAGGTGGACCGTTGGATGGTATTAAATTCATACGTTTCAACTTTTGACGTATTTGAAGTATTACTGTGTTAAACTCAGTTGGATTATGCCGTGGATCGTGTAGGTGTCAGCCTATTCACACTCAACAGTATAATTCTAAAAACGTTATAAATGGCCAGTAATAAATAAAATACTAAACTCGCTCCCGTGTAAAACCAATTTTATGAAACTCGTGAATAGTTATGGTATCTGACTCGCTTTCGCTCGTCAGATACCAGAACTCTGCACTCGTTTCATAAAATTGGTATTACACGGGAGCTCGTTTAGTATTATATTTATATATATATATATATATATATATATATATATATATATATATATATATATATATGTGTGTGTGTGTTACATGAAACAAGTATAATCAGTGATTAAGTCTAATGACTGAAAATTTCAGTGATTATGTCTAATAACTGATTCACTCGGTGGTTATGTCTAATTACTGAAACCTTCAGTAATTAGACATAATCACTGAAATGACACCGTTTAGTTCCAACACAATTACACCTTACACAGCCTTGAATACCACAGACTGAGTCAAGTTGAACCGCTTGACGTAAAGAGAGTGTTTGATCGGTATTGAAATCCATGAGTCAAAGTGTGAGGTATCTGCTTACTTACTTACTTTGGAGATTTAACGTGCGCTTTCCGACTGATGCGTATTTCGCACACGGGCCCGGCCAGGCCATTTAATGTGCTTCCCGAAAGGGGCGAAAGTGGTGTGTGCAATCCAAGAGGGGGGTTTAGGGGCTGCTTATATAGAATTTGGAATTTGTCTTAGTTAGGTCGTTGGAGTTTTTAAGTATTTGAGTTATTAATTTAGGTTGTTTTTTGGTATTTTTGTTTTGGAGGGCTATATATATCCTATGTCACTATCAAATAGCGATGATACCATGTTTTCGCGAAAAGGTGAGCAGAGCATATCTTGTCCCAACGACGGCTGCACTCACAAACACATGGAAAGGCAGGTCAATTGTTCACATGAAAACAACACCTGAACAGAATATTACCTTACTATATGTCTGGTAGCAAAAGTCTACATCAAAATGTCTTTCAGATATCTAAATCCTTACGATCTGTTTGAGAGTTCATCTCCCTCGATGATTCCAGAGGCCATATGTCCTCGTAAACATTACTCACATCGCATCTCATCCCATCTACTCCTCCATTTATAAGATGAACGTGTTCAACATGATCAGCCTCAGTGTTTCCCCAAATCCGACACAATCTGTGAGCAAAACAAACAACGATAATGAGTTGCATTTAACATCGCTTTTGAAAAGTTTTATAATAAGGCACGTGGGCGTAATGTTGGAGAAGTAGTGATGACTACCGTATTGTTGAGAGCCATGACCGCCAGTGTGGTGCTGACAATTTACGTATGATCATGATGCGCCTAAAAGATGCAAGTCTGCTGGACCCAGCAATATTAACAAAAAAGTAACTTGTTCAACAGAGGAACAACCCTAACAATACTCACCAACAAAAGTTCCTGTGACACGCTATAAAATCAAGAACCTTATCAAAGTAGACGCACGCAACTAAAAGAATTCATATCGGACAATGAACCAGTAAAACGCATTTAATGACATATGTCAAGCACAGACATGACGTTATGACGCAGACGCAATCGGTGGTGAATTTTGGTCAGAATTATGCGTCTGGCTTGTCTCCTCGTAAGACGGCGACTTACAGACTGTGCCGATATTCGGCAAAAGGCCAGGGATGGTTCTCGCAGTGACTGTTGCAGGCTTGAACCGATTTCGCAGATGGGTGGTTCGAATCCAACGATTTTGACGGACGAACGTAACGGGGGGCCTGCCGCTACTTGGTCGGTCTCTGATAGTGTTTGTTTGCTGCCACCGCTGCCATAATGTCCAAATAGTGTTTCTGATCATGAGCAGGTTTATTCTCCTAGCAGCTTCACTCTACAATGTTCCTTGAGCATACAGAGTGGTTCTGAAGCGGTCATTTTCAGGTAGGCGTGGCATCTCCAAACTTCAAATAATGATTGAAAATTGATGTTTTCCGGGTTGCAGACAAGCAGAAACAATGCATACCGAATCCCTACAATACGCGTGCTTTTGCACCCTGGTTTACATCATCAATTGCATGACTGCTTCATGAAGGACACGTTTTGCCAAGGGAAAGGGTTGTCACAGGAACTTTTGTTGCTGAGTATATTTTTAAAAAAAGGATATCTGGAAAAAGTGCATCTCGACACCAGGTGTCTCTTTACATTCTGACATATTTTGGAGTAATCAAGTGTGAAAGTTCTCGCCCATATGCTCAAACAGTTGACAAGTTGTTTTACAATGTATTAATGACAGGTTGATATTCAGCTCCGAAGCAACCAATTCCTATTGTGTACCTTTGTCTTTTGGAAATCCAAAGAAACGCACAGATAAGCACAGCCAAGCCAAATCCAATCATTCCACCAATAAGCCCTGCGTTTGCAGATGAGGAAGCTGAGGACGAGGACGAGGACGAGAGCGGGGACACTGACACAGTACCTGCAACTTACAAGCAAAAATGAGAGTGAACTGAATTTACCATTAGCTGTGCATGGTGATACACGTCCTTGATATGCTTTTGATTACAAGACATTATGGTGCTAAATAAGTGACTACCTTTGATGAAATGAAACGTCACAGGACATAAGGATTGGAGTCACAGAAAGAATTCGGCAAGCGGACAATGGTGTGTACAATTTCTGCCCGAAACAGTACACGGAGTATAGTTGTCACGGTATAGACTCTCCCACATAACTCATGTTGCTTTCGTTGAAGTTATTGCATAAATAACTATTAGTGTTATATGAAAATATTTCAAATAACTGACGATTAGCCTACAAATGCTTTATATCTTCAACTGTTATACATTCTCGTTGTATCCACCTGAAAAAGGGTTAAGCAACCCCAGAAATATGTCAGTGACTAGTCAAACAAGTACTGGAATAAAATAAACGAATGTGAACTCTTAAAAACAACCTTATGACAATAAGAAACCAACACCAGCGACAGCTGAGGTTATATTTTAATCGCGATAATGTAGCACAACCATCTGTGTATATTGTATACTACACCCAAGCATGTACCAAATATGTTTCAGATCTGGACTCATGGCATTCCAGGGCATTTGCCCTAGCGTTGTTCTGGAGGTAGCTATCGCTGCTCGGGAACGATGTGGTCTGGCGTTATCATCCATGAATTGAGGCTTTTTGCGAGTTGGTGCTTGTTGAAAGGTAAATCGGATGGACAGATTCCCTGTGATGTTGCCTTGTATGGTGACCAGGTTCAACTTGCAATCGTGTGACATATACCGCCGAATCATTATCGAGCCTCCTCCATAAATGACAGTTGGTCTCGTGTTCCTGAGTGAAAATGCTGTTTTCCTGTGCCTCAAATCCCTCAGTCGTCCATCCGTGACTTTAGTAGGAACCTGATTTCGTCAGACCAGTAAATTTTCCGCCAGGTTCTCTGATTCCATGCCTGTCATCGTGCTAAAACCCACCTCTGATGGTGAACGGCCAGTATCGGTGTTTGATGACTCCGCAGGACGCTATCCCTGCTTCTCTAAAGCGATTCAGTTGGACCGACGTCGATTTGGTTTGACTATGTTTTCTCACAAACCGCCTAATGTGAATTCCGGTGTCACCGTGTAACACCATTTCTATCATAATCACCAATTGTCATTACAGCTGAAATTATAGAACTCATTATCTCAGGGTGCCTAACTTTTTTCAAGGTATATATGTGTAAACAGCGTTTTCAGATTAAAGATGCGTCTTTTCCCCCGATGGATCTGTGAAACACATTGTCAAATTCCCCACTTCCAAACATATTTATGTATAGGTAATATCTTAGACTAAACTTTCACTAAACTAACCTTGCCAAATATCTGACAATACATAGTACTCGTACTCACTATTAAAACAGTGGTATTGATATCACAGGAAAATGTGCACCATTAACAACACAAATTAACAGCAATGTAAAACAACGTTTGTCTAAACGGTGGTCATGAGTTGGTAGTCAGGTTTATATGTTTGAGAATCTATGGTTACTGCACATTGGCCATGCGCATACTGTTTCTGTATTTCCTCTTCAACTGTCATTGCTCACGGGACATTTGCATGTAATCCAAATAAAAACAAATTAAAAAGAGCAACCTCAGTTTAGAATACAATATATCGCACATGTAGGACACAATTATAGTTTATCTACATGTAGTGTTATTAACTTAGAAGCTAACATGGAGAGAACATGGTTGCACGTGTGCACGTATAGCTTTCAACTTCGTGTGGCATACATACCTTCCAGTAGACAATGACCTGTGATTGGGTGACAAGGATGGCCGTTGCAGAAACAGAATTCAGTACAGTCAGCCCCATACGTTCCAGGAGAACAACCTGTAGAGAAAAACAAATCTGTGGACCTTGGGTTCTCATTGAGCTGCATACGAGGGGCCTTCAATAAATTTTGCAACTTTAATATAAGACCAAGTCGCAGAATATCTTTTGAACTTTTATTTTTCAATATAATCTCCATTCGCCTCAGTACACTTATTCCATTTGTCCTTCAAGCTTTCAATACCACTTTTATAGAAATCCGCAGATTGGCCTTCTAACCAGGCCTCTGTGGCAGACCTTATGTCCTCGTCATCCTGGAAGCGTCTTCCACCTAGGGCAGATTTCATTTGCCGGAACAGGAAATTGTCACTGGGGGCTAAGTCTGGGCTGCAGGGGGGATGATTTAACTGTTCGAATCCAAATTCACATATGGCGGCCTGTGCAATTCTCGACTTGTGAACCGGAGCATGTAAGGAACTTTATTACAGCGCGTAGTGACATCACGAGCATCGATCTACGCAATTGGGATACGATGACATGCATCAACTAAGACAGCGAGTTTGTCGACCCGTTAGCCGCTTCTTACCACAAGCATGCATGGCTTGACAATTCTAACCCGGCTAGTCACATCGTAACGACTCACATTTTCAAGCATTCACACAGAACCACTAAGAACTGGGACATTTTGGAAAGTAAAAACACATATATATGAACAATTCCAATGCGATTGGTTTGGCGTTGACATGTACCAAGATGTGTTTGAGTGCAGTTAATATTGATGTAACAAGAACAAATCACATATTGTCCTATATTTAATCATATTTCACCATCTACTATGCATCAATTACAATACATAAATAATAAAGTACTTAGAAAATTGTTTTCAATATGTTATAGATGACACATTTAGACAAAAACTAGTTCAAGTCAAGTTCACGCGTCATACATGATATTATTTTGAAAGTCTTTGTAGTCTTATTGCCCTTACTGTGTCTCTTTAATGGACATTATTAATTCAACTAGATACAGAAAGCTAAGCACCAAGGAATACTTGCCTATCACCTGCACCTCTGCAAGATCCAGGACTATGTTTTTATTGTTGCTGTTAATGGTGTTGAGATACACTCGAACAAACAGCGCCACGACGGGACACGTCACCTCCAGCATGTCCGTGTAGTTCCCTGTGAAGGTGTAACATAGTCTCCCAGGGTATTCGTCACCGACTGCCGAAGTATATACTTGAAGGCCACTTTTGTTATATGGAGCTACAGAAGAAATCAAAGCTCTAAACAGGCATAACTACACTTTTAATTTGGAATCAAAGTACGTTCGGTGCCTTAACCGTGAAACATAAAATGTCAACACCAAACATTAATTAGCCTCGATTATCTGACGACACACAGTCCATTTGGGCGTAAAAGGCAAAATAGCGGTTAAAATTATATTAATGGGTCGCTGAAAATTAGTGATGACACTAAATATTCGTGATAAAGGTAAACCTGCCCTGCCCTGCCCTGCCCTGCCCTGCCCTGCCCTACCCTACCCGCTGGACCTGCCAGCAACACAATATGCTTAAAAAGTGAGTGTGTCTGACACCATACAACAGTACTCCTGTCACAAAGGGTAAACACTCGAATTTTGATCAAACTAATCATGTGACCATGAATGTAAATTGAGCTTTTTCACCTTGTAATCGAAATAGGAATTCTTCAGTTGCCGTATACGGTGTCATATTAGGTTAGCAGTAAAAAATATTGGACGAGGCGTCACCGCATACGGCAACTAAAAACACCATAACGAATTTATAATGCCGAAAAGTTTACACTATTTGGTATCCTTGTCGCACATGTCATGTCAAAACTTAAAACTCAAAACACTATCTAAGGCGTTAAAGGTCAAAGGGAGACTACTCTCCTCAGAGGCCAAACCTTGTTGATAATTTTAAATTTATATAATCTTTATTAAAGTCACGAACGTGTTCCAAAAATACATTAACGTCCTTGCACATCAAAATTAATGATATTAAAACACAAATCAGTGTCGAATAACGAATTTGTGTACCAGAATCTTCATGTGAAATATCTGAGGTGGGTGTTGGAAAATCCAAAATGGCTGTTACTGACGGTGTACGCGTATGGTCTCATATTAAGTCAGTAACAACCATCTTGGATTTTTAATGACAGTATACGGGCTCATATGGGGTTAGTAGTTCTGCTCTCAAAACTCACTCCTGAGGCATAATAATGTTCAATGTTACCCCTAACATTACAGATTAACTCCCCAATTGGAAATCTACATTATATAACATCATTAAAAACCTAAGGGTCCCCATCGATTTACACAAATTGGAGAATCTTTCAAATAATTTACAAAAGGCGTAAAAATAATTCCCCTAACCCAATACAATACTTGAAATATGTACGAGGGCCAAGTTTACAAGCTTATGTAGCTCAAAATATACATAGATCATACTATAAGCTACTTATCCTGATATTTTTGTTTTATTGACTTACATTTCTTATTTAGAAACACTTTGACCCTTGGTGCATACATTCCCGAATCAAGTTTAATTTTCACCCATCCTGGTTCCGACGAGTTTAGTTTGGTCAGAAACCTATTGTGCAGACCCCCATCCACGGCGGCCTTGGCGCCCATGTACCAATGTTGTTCGGAGCTGGCGACAGCCTCCCGTTGCAGGGCCATGTTGCTTAGGACAGAGTACACATAGTGTCCAGAATATTAATTTCTTAAATGAAAATCGTTTCAGGATTAGAATGTTGCACTTAGATAGATTGAAATACATGTAAATATAAGTTGACAATGCAGTAGAATAACACGCCTGGACTTTCCACTTGGCGTGAAGGGCAAATAGCTGTGGAAAAATGAATGGACGACTGAAAATGTCACCGTTCTTGTCCATCGACGAATTTCATAAACTTATAAAAGTGTCTCACCCGAAATGACTTTTCTATTTCGGATGTGGCGTTAAGCACTAATCACTCACTCGCCCTGTAGATTATCTAACTCTGAGACAATACCTCGCTGACATGTAGGCCCATCCCATCCAGAAGAACATTCGCAACCTTTCCTGGTTTCACAATCAGTGTCCTCTTCGCAGTTGCAGGTATAGAGACAGTCACGACCAAACATTCCATGGGGGCATGCAGCTACAACGTAAGAATCACTTGTATCTATGAAATATATGGAAGGTGACAGAAAATAGTGTACATACAATGTTATGCTATATTAGGACCATCTACATGTAGGAAAATTGGTTCTTTGTGCAAATTCGAATTCCTCAATTCATTGTACTGATATGGTTGATATTAAATAAAATATCAAAGACACATTTACAAGCAGGCGTGTGATGTTGTTTTTTTGTGGGAATGGGGAGGAGGATTTCTTTTAGCGTGCGCATTGTACTTCTTGTCGGCATGCTTATACCATAAACAGTAGTAGTGTGTGTTAACTATGTCTCGTACACATCCACAGAAATAAGGTTCTTGCTGTCGAATAGACAAAGGGAAATGAGACGATGCACAACCGCTACTGTACATCACTTCGTATGTAGTGCAAGGACTTACAAATACCGTGCATGTATATTGGAATAAATGCGCCTTCAAACAATTCTCCCTTTTTGTATAAGTACTTATGGAGGACGGTAGGTGATCGTGTGAGGAGTGATAGAGTGGACATATTCAACGATACCTCTAAACATTATTTCTGGGTGAATATACCCAAATGCAACGTATTCGGGGAAATGCATGCAGAAAGCATGCAAGTATGATCTTGTCACATACGGAAAGGAACATGACAGTGGTCATCTTGGCCAGTCAAAGCGTGACATTACGGACAAATGGCAAGTATTGGGCAAGCAATGTAATACGCAATGGAATTGGCAAATGCTACTTTTAGCTTCCATTTCTTGTTTTGCAAAGTGGTATATTTTACATATATACACGCGTCAAATGGTAACATACATATCAAGTTACCAGTTACTCAACCGCTGTCGACCAGTCAACCGCTGTCCAATGTATCACGGCACGCTAGCTGCAGTCAGATTCGTTTACACTGTGATGTTGTCACGAGTAGATCGATAAACAAACACGTATCAAATATCTTGGCACGCTGGTCAAGATGAGCGCGCAGATAAGTGTCGTTGCCGACTGCCTGGTTTAATTCAATCTAAACTAGATGTTCAATGGTTTATTTACATTCGGTGTATTACTGAGTTGACGTCATGTTTGCTTTTATAGTCCACTATAAGGATACAAAAAAGACTAGGTTCTCAGGCACCGCCGCATCATCAAAAAGTCCGCCGCACGTTTCGTTCTTACTTCCCTTTAGAAATAAATAAAAATCTGAAAACATTCCGCATCTCGAACCCACAACCTAGGCAGTGAAATGCTGCAAGACTAAATACAGCGCCATCCATTTTAGCAGTTACTTCCCTTTACACTGCTTCGCTGCACATCTTGTGTTATTCACCATGGCGGTAGCAGGGGTCATATTGTGCTCGTTTTGCCGTTTGCACACTTGGTTTAAGAAAATTTGACCTTTGCGAAAAAAATCATAATGAATTACCTTCTTCTGTATATAGTTACCGTAAGCTGGGCATTGTTTTATACGTACAGATTAAGATTACCGTGTCTAATAATTGTGTCGTAAGGAACTGTTGATTAATTATTGATTTATTATTTTATTGTTAATTTCGTATTGATGTCTGTAGTTCTTTTTGTGATAATCATTAAGCAGTCTGTGGCGTTATTGTTGTTGATGTATATATTTACAAAAACTGACTTCGTTACGTTTATACCACAATGCAGGGCGGTCGGACGATCATTCGACCATCGCGTTTATCTGCCCGTCTACATATGGCGAACAACTCACTATACCCTCCCCTCTCAAAATACGACGTCATCAAGTTGCGAGCGCATGTTCGAATCTCCAGAAATGACGTCATGATAGAACAATGTTTTATGGTGAAATATACCACACTTCGCTCTTCACTGTTCTTTGCTATTTGTCGGGCACCTATCTTATATATGAAGATAAACCACATAGAAGAAACGTTCAAATGTTTATATCCATGTAGTGGGAAGGCAAATCGTCAGACAGCCGGGGTGAGGTTCACAAGTTTATACATGTAGTGGGAAGGCAAGTCGTCAGACAGCCGGGGTGTGGTTCACAAGTTTATACATGTAGTGGGAAGGCAAGTCGTCAGACAGCCGGGGTGTGGTTCACAAGTTTATATACATGTAGAGGGAAGGCAAGTCGTCAGACAGCCGGGGTGAGGCTCACAAGTTTATATACATGTAGAGGGAAGGCAAGTCGTCAGATAGATACTATGTATGGCATATAACATATATTTAGCCACTCACCTGTCTGGGACACAAACAGCGATATCCACACAACCGTGAACCACACCGCCATCTTGTAGGGGAAATACACAACACACATTCGTCCAAACAGGATCTTATTCAAGATCTTGTTCACAGTGGGTTTGGGAAAATATTTGGAGCGTGAAGTTTAATATTCCAATTGCTTTTCAAGGCCCAGTGTATTTTTTATGAGTGGTTTCTGTAATTTGTATGTGATTTAGGTATGTATCCGAAGTACAGTTAATCTCCATTTTTGGATAAAGTATGTCTCAAGTGACAGCAGCATTACTATAAGGGAAATGTGTAGTTTGTGCCGGTGTCGAGTAGTTAACGTTGCGTTGACCAGTATCTTTGTAAGATAAGGGCGTGTCAGCTTGATGTGGATTGAAAGCCCTGAGTGAGTGTCGGTTGAGTTTAATGTTGTTTTACCAGTATTTCGGTTATATCACGGCCTACAAACCAGATACAAACCGCATCCATATTGACCCACACCAATGATATCAATATTTACCCATACTTGTAATTAATATTAACCCATACTCGGGGTTAATACTCAAACGCACTCGGTCATGAACACCTACTCGTAAGAGTCACCAGTAGTCGCTATCATTACTGACCCATACATACTGTCAGTACTCACTAATACTCACCATGCTCACTGACAAGCTCGTCACGCCGAGACCCGGTTTCGATTCATCACATGACCCATTTGTGGCGTTTCCCTGCCGCGTTGTTACCAGAATATTGCTAAAAGTGTCGTAAACTCAAACTCACTCACCCAATGACAATACTCACTCACACTCGGTATCCGTGCCGAGCCTTAACCGATATCAACATGAAACCATACTCGGTATTCAATCCCACCCATACTCGGTAACCATGTTCACCCATACTCGGTACCCATTCCCAGCCCTACTCGGTATCCATGCTCAGCCATACTCGGTATCCATGTTCAGCCATGCTCGGTATCCATCCTCAACCATACTTGGTATCCATTCCCACCCATACTCGGTATCCATGCTCAGCCCTACTTGGTATCCATTCCCACCCATACTCGGTAACCATGTTCACCCATACTCGGTACCCATTCCCAGCCCTACTCGGTATCCATGCTCAGCCATACTCGATATCCATGCATAGCCATACTCGGTATCCATGTTCAGCCCTACTCGGTATCCATGCTCAGCCCTACTCGGTATCCATGCTCAGCCATACTTGGTATCCATTCAAACCCATACTCGGTATCCAAGCTCAGCCATACTCGGTACCCATTCCCAGCCGTACTCGGTATCCAATTTTGCCCATACTCGGTATCCATCCTGAACCATTTTCAGTTTCAATACTAAGCTAAACTCGGACTCAGCATTCACTAATGCTCAATGACGACACTCATACTCGGTGTCAATACTGACCAGTACTCGGTATCCATTCTCAGCCATACTCGTCCATATCAGGTACGAATACTCAGTCATACTTATTATCTACGCACCGTCATGTACCTGGAATATTGCTGAGTACGGCGTTAACAACAAACAAAATGTTATCTACGCAATACCATTTGGACACTGATATCAACCACATTTTTTATTCATAGATACTGTTATGGTTAGCCTTTCTGGCAGGTCTACAAATATACACTAAGTAACTTTAATCGTATGATTATTTTAAATACTGCGATTGCGAGGAAGCATGTTAATCTCAATATTTCATGAAAAAAATAAAGCGTCCTAGTGATGAAGACTGACCCTATAGGTTTTTTAAAAGTCCTAACAAGGTGAAATTCCGAGTTGAAAGTCAGTCTGGCAAAATGTGTGCACTTTAGAAAGTTATGACAAAAAGTCCGGCCATGTTCATTTCCTATTATAAATGTACAGCGATAGAAAACAATTGTAATTGACAGTGCTTTGATGTGTGATGTTTTTCATCCCTTTCATGAGGCATCACGATTTATTATAATCACACTGAAAGGTATTAACCGTGTTTATTTTAGCATTTTGTTTTATTTTTTCATGTCAAAACGCTCACAGTAGTTACCGAATGCACCTCAGATGTCCTGGATTATTGATACTGATGAAGGGGCGGTCGGGTAGCCCAGCGGTTAAAGCGTTCGCTCGTCACGCCGAAGACGCGGGTTCGATTCCCGACATGGGTACAATGTGTGAAGCCCATTTCTGGCGTCCCCCGCCGTGATATTGCTGGAATATTCATAAAAGCGGCGTTTAACCATACTCACCCACTCACTACCAAATATATTTACATCACAATTTACAGAAACGCTTTTATTAGATCTAGTTGTCCAGGTCATCCAGGGTGGATGATTTAACTGTACAGGGCCAGTCTGCTGGTCAGAGGGCCAATCTTCGGATTTCCTTGAAAGTGGTATTAAAAGCTTGAAGGACAAATGGAATAAGTGTATTGAGGTGAATGGAGATTATATTGAAAAATAAAAGCGCAAAAGATATTCTGCGACTCGGTCTTATATTGAAGTTGCAAAACGCCCCCCGTATCTTAACAACTTTTCAATCATTTTGCTTATATTCATTCAGTATATCAGTGTGGTTTATTGCGAAACTGACTGCTTATTTAAGTTTATCACGCTACTAAAAGAATGGCGAGGGTCGACAACTTCAAACTTCGGATTGTTCTCTATATTTGCTCCCAGATGAGGGTGTCTCTGCGTCTATCGCTATGTGTGCTGAGTGTGTTTGTCGGGTACTCGGAAGGGTTGTGGGGGGACCTAGATGGCCTCGACTCCCTCGTTTACCCAGACTTCCAAGACTGCCAAGTTTACCCAACCTAGCAAGACTTCCACGACCTTGTAAGATAAACTGCCGAGCAAACGAAAGTATACACACACGTTCGATGATGGCATCGTGTTTCAGCCTAGTAGCATTTTGATAACATTTGTAATTTTTTGGTCAATCCAATTTCCAAGTTTATACATTTGCCCGCCATATGGGTTACATAGATATCTGCTCCTGGATGATTTAGTAGCAGCCAGCCAACCAGCCACACACACACTGACACGCACGCACGCACGCACGCACGCACGCACACACACACACACACACACACACACGCACGCACATACACACACACACACACACACACACACGCACGCACGCACGCACGCACATACACACACACACACGCACATACACACACACGCACGCACGCACGCACGCACGCACACACACACACACACACACACGCACATACACACGCACGCACGCACGCACGCACGCACGCACACACACACACACACACACTCACGCACGCACGCACGCAGGCACACACGCACATACATACATATATACATACATACATGTCGTTGCTAAGTATAAATTAAAGGTGAAGTGTATATATTGTGACATGTTGGATGTTAACAGCTGAACAGTATACACAGTATACACAGCTGTATGTGTCAGGTATTATATATTCAATATTTCAGTTCCTGGACGCGATGTGATGGACGAGGATATTGCCAGTGACCACGATGACGGTAGAGGTAACGTTTTAACGTGGGTTTCGTGACGAATAATACGGTAAAGTGTCGTCACAAATAATAAGATTACAAGCATGGAGTGGGTGATATTTTTTCACGCATTGTTTTTTCATCGTCGATGGCGAGAGATTATCATTCAGACATTACTCATTTAATTAAAAAGGACAAAACACTTTCTGCAATCATAAGAAATCTCCGCTAAAGGCAGAGTCCATTGAATGATTTCGACTATATCATAAACATAGGTTTAATAGTAAGAAGTAAGAATCACTATCAGATAGTGATGACACAAGTTGTAGGCGAATCATTTGACTGATTATTCGAAGTATAGTTGAGTTATTATTCAAGGGCTAATGCATCATATTCTTTTGAATGCTCATGTTACGATAACATTTAAGACAATCGCTATAAAAATCCTCTCTTGGTGATACATATAAAAATTAAATAATTATTTTAATGCATACAAATCCACTGTAAGCACCATTTTTAAAACATTTACCATATGTTCCATTCCACTTTCTTTAAGAACAATTCCCTTCTTGAAGTAGAACCATAGTTTTTTTAAAACGCACTCCAAGTGTCAGTCAGGTGGATGTGCCATTTGTACGTATTTTATGAAAATAATATTAACCCTGAAACTCTTTCACTTTGTTATTTTCTGCCAGTGTATATTTTCGTGAAAGTTTACACGTGTGTATTGGCTTGACTCGTTTTAGTGGTGCCTGTTTACTAGTATTTTAGAAGTGGGTGTAAAACATTGATCTACGAGCTCTTAATGTAACAAGACATCAGGGAAACAGTTGTTGCAGAAATCGTTTCAGGTGAGATTTATTTACATCACGATCAACATATGCGAGATCTTCTTTTGTCGTTATGATATTCTCTTTCGTATTTCGTATTTTTCGTAACAGTTGCTCTTTCCAAACGATTAATACTCAGATAACGATCTATGTTTGGTTTCATTTAGCCTGAATAATACATTTGAATGCAACCATACAGAGTGACCATTGAAAAAACCTTTGTTTGTAGGCCTAGAGACACTGACTGAGAGGCAGCTTCTTGAGTGAGTGAGTGAGTTGGGTTTTACGCCACTTTTAACAGTATTCAAGTTATATCACAGTGTGTCAGCTTAATGTGGGAGGAAAGCCCGAACTGATGCAGGTCTCAGATGTTTACCACTTCGGTGAAACCCACGAGCACCGGTATGGTGCTGACAAACCTAGAAACATAATCGGGGCGAACCGGGATTCGAACCCACAATCATAGGTTTTTTGACGTGCACAAGGGACGCAACTCTGCACAGCGAATCGCGGCGCCTTAGACGACTGAGCCACCCGTGCCCCCGCAGCTCCTTGAGGATGAAGAGGTTGAGTGACGAATGTGACCAGTGTGATGGTGAACTCCTGCCTGTCACACATGTACATGCTACATGCAAATACATTCAAGAAGAAAATAATTGTGCATCATGAATAACATGTTGTGTTTACATACAGGCGGACCTCGTTGTATCGAACTTGCATGTATCGAATTCGGTTGTCTCGAACTCACCCTCCGGTACCTGTGAGTTCCCACTATATTTAACATCATT